GCAAAAAAAAGGCAAATGTTATTTTGTGGTTCATTAATTGATAAATTGCATGAAGTACTAGGACTCTACTCAGCACTGGATAGGCCTCATTTGGAGTACTGAGTCCAGTTCTGGGAACCACAGCTTAATGTATGCAGACATACCAGAAAAGTTTATGGGAGGGCAACCAAGATGATCCGGGAACCAGAAACAAAGTACTGTGAAGAAAGACTGAAAGAGCTGAACATGTTTAGCCATGAGAAGAGAAGAATGAGGGGAGATACGATAGCATTCTTCAAGCACTTGAAAGATTATCAAACAGAGGAAGACCAAGATCTCTTCTCAGTCTCCCCAAAGCACAGGGCATAGAATAATGGGTTTAAGTTACAGGAAGCCGGATTCTAACAGGACATCAGGAAAAATCTCCAGATTGTTACAGCATATGACAATTTAACCAAGTACCTAAGGAGTTCATGGGCTTTCCCACACTAGAGGCATTCATGCATCTGTTGGGGATGCCTTAATTGGAGTCTTGCATTGAGCAAGGGTTTGACCCAATGGCCTATTGGCCCTTTCCAACTGTGCTATTGTATGATTCTGAAGATGGGCTTTCTCTTGCCTGCCCGGAATCTACCAAATAAGTTAATAAATTAATACTGTCCACACCCACCAATTTCACCAAGTGCCCAATAGCGTTAGAAGAGGATTCACATGAACTGGATGCATCCCAGCTCCCATTGACCTTCCTCCAGGGTTGAGTTTAACAGCTGCTATGGAAGCTTTCTTGAGTTAAGTTCCAGCAGCAGTCTGGCTCCATTCTGGTTCAAGTGGAGCTCATTCCATTTATATAGGCCCATCGTGTGTCAGAACATTTCCCAGTACCGAAACGCATCTACTCCCTGCTCACTATACCAGCACTTCATCCATATGTTGAAGCTTCAGAGCTTTCATTGCTTAGCTGGCCTCCTGTGTAGCACAGGCGCCATTTTAGAGCCCAATGTCTGGTCCCAATATAAAATTAACAGATCTATAATTTCCTGCACCCATTTTGAATCTTCAAAAATTGCTGATAACATTGGTTCTTTCTAATCCTGTTAAGTAGTAAACATTATATTTTTTGTTAGAAAATCGATCAGTTCTCAATTGACTACTTTAGCAACACTCTGATGCATGCCATCTAAACTTGCTAATATTGTTCTCTTACTTGTTGACAATCCACTGAACTTGATCTAATCATGCCCATTTGACTTGATTCTTTCTGCATTTTCCTCCACAGTGGTTTAGGCACAGGAATCACTAAACTCTTGAACTAGGAGCCCTCTGAGGTTCCTTCCTTATATGAACATTTTGCACAGCAAAGACAGGCTGCGAAGAATCCATGCACCTTTTCCATCATCTCTCTATTCTCCTTCACAAATCCTTTCATACCTTTGCAGTACAATGGCCTAATCAGCCGCCTGTTTTCTCAGACACTGAAATGAATCACTGTCCATCTCATTATTTTTGGCACTATGCTCTTCATTTTTCACATGCCTTACTGCAAGTCTACAGTTTTTGCTAGTGTTCATGCTCCTTTTTATTCTCTTCATTTGGGCAACTTTCTATTATAGAAACCCCCCCTCTACATTGATTAACCATTTGGGGTTGTTCTTGGAATCATTTCCAATATGGCGTATGCATTCAATGTAAGATCCACTATCATGACTTAAAACAATTTTCAAAAACCAGGCTGTCTCAAGTGTGGTGCCAGTACATTTAATTTTTTAAAATATCTTTTGTAATTTTTAAACCAAGAACACATTCTGAAACCATTTTAAATAATCTCTCTTTTGTAGTCCATTTTCATATACTTGGCATCCAGCACATCCAATGAGGTATTGCCAGCAAACAGACTTGGTTCCTTCCTCTACTGTATCTGTATTATCCTTAAATTAGTTTTAGAAAAAGGAAAAAAAAACCCTTCCCACTATGGAAGAAACATTATTTTGTTCAAGTCAACATAATGCAAATAGCTCCATTTTCTCTGGAATAAAGTTAGGTAGTTTTTGGAACTGAAGTAGTTAGAGATTGCCAAATTAGTTTTGTGTCCGTTTATTCCTCTGAAAGTCTCTTCCATCCATCCAATTTCTACATCAGTATGAATTTTTTCTTTATTTAGAAACTTTTTCTAAATGTTTCATTTATATGCCGTTTCCCCAAATATATTCAGATTTGTTCCAAACCTTCCTAATTGTAAATGTTTCTGCATGCCGTTTGAGTTATGAGCTGCATCACAAAATTAAAAAAAACATACAGCCTGACAGGTTGTGTTCCAATTCCCACAATAAGACAAGGAAATATGAATTGGATTGTTTTGCTTAAAAATAAGCAAAAGTTCTCCCGTTTCCCTAATCTTAGATTTAATTCTACTGGTTCTATTTAGGGTGCAATCTAGTGTACATTTAGACAGAAAAATCCTACAAACTCCCAGCCAGCCATGTTGGCTGAGGCACCCTGAGACTGGAACACTTTTTCTCCCTATCTAAACATGCAGGGAATTATATCCTAAGTCATATGAGTACATGTTTCATGAGGATACTGTTTACCTAGGCTGCAATTCAATATGCATCTACACAGAAGTAAACTCCAATGGGTTCACCAGCTCTTATTCCTGGGCAAGCATGCACAGGATCATAGCCTTCAGCATTTAAAGATAAAGCAATGGCTTCACTGAGGCAGAAACATCTCCTTTGGCCGCTTGTCCAAGGGGAAAAGAACTGAGCCTCGGCTTCCTTGTTCTGTTCAGTGACTACTAGGGTGTCTTGAGGCTTAAGTAACAAGTGCCTGAAAGGAGACTGAATCTACTGAGAGCATTTTCGTTATAACATAAGCTACGCCTGAGCATAAACACGAAGAACATGGGCTCAGAACAGGGCTCAGAGCACCAGCTCTGGCACTCCACTGCTGCAGTGGGGGAGCATTTGATTACTGCTCCCTGATCAAGTCTGAAATAGGGCCACGTTATTGGATACTCTGCTGCCACAAGGGGGGAAATGACACATTTTCTTGCTGAGCAGAGGATGCCAAAAAAACAAGTGAGCTCATAGATTTTGCCAGACACCAAAGGAGTCTGAGCATACACCAGCCATTAAAGTCTAGATGAAAACATGAATTTGCTAAGCCATGCTTACCAGATAGCATTATCTTATGATAATGGCCATCTACCTACTTACCATACCATAACCTTCCAGTTCTTAACATATTTCCACTCATAAAATGTACTACAGAATCTGAACAGCAGTGAACAAGAAGACAGCAGTAGTTAATTTTTTAAAAAAATCTGGTTAGAAATTAAACCAATTATTTGGCATTAGAAATGCAGACAGATGTGCAGAGGCCAGCATTTCATCTTTGCAAATGAAATCACCAATGATGCATCACAGAGCACCCGATGCGTAAGTTCCTTGTTGTATGTGTCACATACTGCATATGTTTGGTCCATGCCAAATAAGAGCACAAGGTCAGTTTTTAATGTCAGCTCTAACATTTTGCCTAGTACTCAATGCTAAAATAAAAATCCAGGTAAAGACAAAATAAAAAGTGAAATAAAATCATGCAAAATGCTTCTGTGAAGGGTGGACTCCCTTCTCTTTTCCCTGCTTAAACAACATCCCCCCACCCATCAAACCAGAGGCATCTTCCATGACTCAAAAGAAGATATTCTCCGTTTCCCATTTCAGAGGAATTGCCAATGAAGGTCTAGTCCCAATATGTCAACGAAGACACTTTCATATCGGCTTTAAAGTATAGCAGCAGCTGCTCTAGGGAAGCTATTAAATCCCATAGTGGGGAAAGAAGAGCAACCGCAGGGCTAATTCACATCCCCAGAGACCCGGAAGCCGCTTCATTAAACACACAGTGGCCAAGACCCTTCCCCAGCAACACTATCCATAAATAACAAGCAGCGCATGCATGGCGAGGGTGCTCCACTGGGAAAAGGGGAGAGACGGCAAGATTTAAAGGGAAAGCTTTAAAGGCACAGAGCGAACGAGGGAGCCTGCCTACTCACGCAAGCGGCGCTACACAGGTGCCGCTTCACGGGGAAAGGGAGTGCTGACGATGCAACCAGTGGGGGCGCATACAAACGAGAAGACAATTAGGTGGGCTTCATTAATCAAGGAAGCGAATGGATTTTCGCGGCGGGGTAGGAAGAAGGCGCTTGCAGTCTCACCACCAGCTTGCTCCCGCTGAAACTGCACCCGCATTTTCCTGGGAGAAAACATATTCCCTTTGCCTTCTACTGGCCCAGAATTATTCTGCCTTTTTACCATGCGCAAAATGATCCGATCTTGCTCAGGCCAAAGCTGGGGCTGAAGGTACAAGTCGTGAAAGAGGGAGAGAGGGCAGAATGGGTGGCAACTCGTGGCGGGGGAGGCGCAGGAGAGAGGAAGGAAGATCTGTGTGAGCTGCAAACTCGGCGAGAAAAACGAGGCGATGCTTGACACAAACTGGGGCAACGCTTCGGTGCAACTCTCGAGCCTTCCGAGAGACACGGCGGCGGGCTCTCTGCAAACCATGCATTCAGCCCAAGGAGCTGCTGCGACAAGGCTCCTGAGAGCTAAGAAGCTTGCAGTGAGCTGCCGCGGCGGCGAGGCTGCAGGCGCGCTAATCCCGCGTGCCCGTTAAAGAGGCGAGCGCAACGCGAGCAAGCCACTGCCGAGGATGCGTCCTGAGGGAAGCCCGTTGCCAAGTCATCAACCAGGAGACGGGGATGGGTTCTTAAGAGGGAGGGCGCCGAAGAGGCGGGGGCGCATTGCGAGCGCCCGCGGGCATCCAAGGGGTGTGACCAACGGTAGACCTGAGCGGAACAGACCCGCCGACACGGAGGGGGCCCTGCAGAGAACGCTACGGGTGCAAGCCCCGCAGTGGGGGAGAAACGGGTCGCGCTGCACAGGAAAGGCGTGGGCGGGAGGGGCGCTGTTCCGTTTGGGGCTAAGCCGCAAGGGCTTGCAAGCGGCGCGGAGCCGAGGGAGAACACGTACCTGGAGCTGCCACGGGGGAGGAGGAGGAAGGAGGAGATGCCCTCGGCGGCGCGGCTCGCTGAGGGTGCTGCGCAGAGCGCCTTCCTAGGCTCAGGTCGGAGGCCGCGGCAGCGCTGCCCAGCCGCCCCTTCAGCAGCAGCAGCAGCAGCAGCGGCAGCAGCCAAAGCGACGTGGCGGCCAGCCGCCCCGGGAGCGAGGAGGACGGCGCCGGGCGCCCGCGAATCCTCGCCATGGCGACCAGCCAGAGGGCCGTGGAGGCATATTGCGGGCGAGGAAGGCGGCCGAGAGCAGGGAGCGCGCGGGCCCCCGGCGGCCGCTGAGCAGCCGCCGCGCCGAGAGCGGCTCTCCCCGGACTCGGCGCGCAGACACGCGCGCTCTCCCGCCCGCAGTGGGCAGCGGGAGGCGGCGCCCGGCGCCCACGTGACGCGAGGAGGGCGGAGACGCGGGCTTCCCTCGCGGCCGGGCCGGCAGCGCCGAGCCCAGCTGCCCGGCGGCTGCCCGGGAGCGCGGGCATGTTGCACGGTGCGTCCCCTGCCACGCTTGTCCGGCCACTGGACTGGGCGGACCCTTGGCGCTCTCCCGCAGAGCTCTTCGTGTGGGCTCCTGCCCCTCCCTGATTTATTACCCCTATGAAGCAGGCGCCCCAGCTGGCCCGCTGGGGTGCTTTGCATCCATTCCCGGGAATGGTGCCCTCCCGGGTCCACGCAGCCACCACCGACCCACCCACACACACACCGCGCGGACGCCTCTCCTGGTCGTCTCCTCCCCAAGCGCCCAGCGACCCGGGCTTTCCCCAAGAAGCAGCCTGGCGATTTCTCGTGGCAGTCAGACCCGCTGGTGATGAGTTCCAGGGGACTGCCTTCGTTTCTGGCAGGGCTCCCGTGCGCTTGTGCGTGTGTATTTGTGACGTTTCCTACCCGCTTTTCGTTCTGAGGACATCCCGAAGAGGGATGCGAGAAACAAAACACAACGAAGTAACACATCATTGAACATCCCTCCCCCCACAAAAAAAAAAAAAGAAAAAAGAGGGAGGCAGTGCGCACCCCACAGCGAGAGCGCTGTCTTGGGCCCCTAAGGATGCAGTGTGCTTTGTTCAGATTGAAAAAAGCCTCACAGCTCGGGGCATGTCCCGCCCCCCAACCTCCACTCCCGCCAGACAGGTTTCTTGCTGCTTATTGCATCAGTCACCGATAGTTCTTTTTCATACTTCATTATATTCGTAGTCCATTTTTTCTTTTCAAGGAACTCAAGGCAGTTTACCGAATCTTCCATCTCCTCCAACCCATGATAAGCTGACTATAGTCATCAGGATCCAGTACGATTTAACGTCTGCACAGTACCAAAACAGGTGCATAAAGTCAATATCTTGTTCGCCAGATCAACATCTGTCATGACTCCGTTTGTATATTCTCAATCTTATACCGTGCAAAATACCGGATGTAAAAACCCCTGATGTGAATGTAACACCCCTGTAAAGAAATGTTTTAAATTTCTCACGAATGCTTCTACACAGATGCACCTATCCGTGACCACAACTCACATAATAATTCCATTTGTATATCCTTCCCTCCTGACTTTTTAAAGAAAAACAAGATACATATCTGTTCTGTCATTCATTTAATATTTTAAAAAACCTTCCCCATCAAATAAGGACAGACTTCTACGTATGTTTAGACAGAAAAAAGTACAACCACTACCAGCATTCTGCATTTTCTGAATGACAAAAAACAAGCCAACCAGAGCCCGGATTTGCCATATCACACCAGACATTTCAGGTCTAATCTAACCTCCTGCTCAGAACCTTGATTGTCCCAAACAATTCTGAGATAATACATCTTCCTATCACAACAAATAGCTATCCGAGCACCTGAAGCCGTCAAGACCTGGGTCAGCTTTCCCTAACCTGGTGACCTCCAGATTTCTTGTACTACAACACTCATAATCCCAACCATGCTAGCTGGGGATAATAAGTATTATAGTATAGCACTACTAGAGGGCATCAGCTTGGGAAATGCTGGCCTAGATGATATTAAGAGTCTGTACCAGAATTTACTTGACATTACTTGCATTGCTCAGTGCTTTTTGTCTGGCACTTAGTGGTTTAAGATGCTCTGTGCATTAAGGATGAATCCTTCAAACTATTTTGCTGTTAGATGCTAATGGCCCTCTAACCCGGGCATTTCCTTAAGCATTTTGAACTGTGTTTCCCCCCACAGCAGCCAGTGATTAGAACTTTTAAAACATGCAGTTTTCACTTGAAAGAGGCAAGAAATGCTCCATCAAAGCAAGCTCAGTGGTTTTAAACCGCAGGCCCAGAAGCGAATAGAAAAGACAGTGCAATCTGACAGTTTTAGGACACCAGAATTTTGAAAAGATGCAAATGATAAGTGTGCACACAGCCTGAAGTGCATCTGCCTCACCCAGAAAAACAGAGCAAATTCTACCATACCTTCCCTGCATGATTAAATTTGCCTTGCTAGTCACATTACAGAAAAGTATTGTCAAGAATTGGCTTAGGAAGTAGTTGCATGCATCATGTGTTACATGATTCTTTCCCATTTTTATCCCTGCAAAAATTTATGGGAATAGGTGAGACTGAGAGAGTGACTGGGCCAAAGTGACACAGTGAACTTTGAAATTTGATCCTGGTCTCCTGGGTTCTAATCTGGCAATCTTCATCTTTTACTACTCTCCAGTTTACTGGAGCTCATCACTTTATCCCCATCCCACTTGCACAAATTTGAATGAATGTTACCTTATTGCAAGGAACTGTGATAAAAGATAATATATTCCACCTTTAGCAGGTTTAGACCTTCAGGCCACTGTTCAGGGGCTCTCAGACCAGACCCTCTGCTCCTCCCAGAATGTGGCAGCTAATGGCAGCATCGGCGGAGCCAGTGCAAACTCCCATTTCATTCCTTTAAGTCATGATGATGCGTATAAATAGAGAAGTAAATCGCAAAGCTGCAAATGCTCAGAGTATACAATGTAATGTAAAAAAATGTAAAAGTGATATAAGTAAAACATAAATGAAATGTGAAAGCTGTTTTAAAGCATGGTAAAGTGACTGGAAGGTGGAAAAGAAGGTAAGAGGTGTGCTTTCTTCATGAATGAAGAAACACACACAGCCACCTAATGTGCCCACCCCCGTAAGAACATTGCGTCCAATGTTTAAAATTATGTCGCTTCACCCCTGAGCGCAGAAGAGGAAAATGACCTCACTTGCTCATGTTTTTTCACATCAGGGGTGAGTGACAAGTTTTAAGGGGAGGCCTTGAAGATGATGTCCCAATGGACCTTCTGCGGGTTGGTAAAAAGAACGTGTCCACATGCATATTTACTTTCTCCATGCTGAGAGGCTTGGAGTGCCATGCCTCAGTGCTGAGGGGGCACCGTGCCCATCTCCAAGTTTACATGAGGCTAGAGTGGGAATGTGTTAGAACTGGGTCTGGTCATAATGTGTGGAATCAACATAGGTAGGCCTGTTCGGTAGTTACCAAGGAGCAGCTCAGTTCCTTTTCTCCAGCCACTTACTAGTTGACCTACCAAGTTAATGCCATGAATTTGTTCTGGGTACTCCCACATTTGACAGTTCCAGATTTAGTTTGACCCTGGGTGCAAAGCATCACCGTGAGTTTCAAGTCGTATCCTGAAACTTTGTTCCATATAGACGCATTAAATACATCTAAATAATAGAATGAGAGGTATTTTATTCACCATTTTAAAGCATTAGTTTTTATAATATTTACAATAACAAATGGCTAATTGTTTTATGTGAACAATTTTAAAAATATATCAGGTTTTCTTTTCCAAAACAGTACTAAAAATCTTAACATCAATGGATTTATGGATTTAAAGAAAGACTAATTTAGAAAGACAAATAATAAAGCTTATCTGTCTTAGACTATCTCAACTGCCACTGTCAGCTACAGCATAGACCTTTATTATTTGTTATCCGCAAATAACAAATGATTATTTAAAACTATCCATTCACACAGCTTTATATAAAGCTGATATGGTAAGTGCTGGTAGATCTTGTTTATTATTTCTCCTATAGATATTTATTCCAGAGATGTTATTCCAGACGCTTATTCCAGATTTCTCAATGTAACCATGCTGTTCATGCTAAATCAAACCCCAACAAATGTATCTCATTGGTCTCAAGGAAGTGTTCCTTACATACCCATTCAATTTCTAAGAAATGGAGGGTATAAAGTGCATTGAAGACTTCACAGACAAAATGAGTGAACACAAAAGCTTTGAGTATGTATCTGCTACAGACTTAAACTTAACAGCCATTCTGCTTTCTCGGGGAACCATGGGAGCTGGAGTTTTTGGAGGACAAACAAGGGATTTGGGAACATGTTTTCCATGCCTTCAACCAGCACACCAATTTCTAGTTTGTTTTAGGACAAGCATGTTAAATGGACATAGCGAAAATGTTTTCAGTGCAAATATATCTTTTCAGTTCATATACTGTACTGTCTCATATACTGAAATAGATTTGGAAACATCTGAAACATTTGGATTAAGTAAACAATGTATTTATACAGTGATACAAGGCCACAGGTTAATCAGGAAGCAACCAAAGTGTATTCATGATATGAAAGAAGGGGTAATCACAGAAACAGTTCTACAGATGTGTAGCAATCGATTATCATTTTGTGTAAACAATGCTATATTTGTTTAACAAATAAGCTGTACTACCTCTGTATAACAATAAATAGAAAGAAATGATCCAATAAAATATACATACTAAATATTAAGACCAGAAACTTAGGCTGGGATCTAAACATTTATTCTGGACTAGTTTGTAACCACCCATTGGTGTTTACTTTTATTTTTGAACTGCAGTCCATTCCTGTACTCCATGAAGTATCATCACCTGTTTTTGCTACTTATTGGAGGATTTATCAAGACATTAAAGACGCTCCCTATCTTTATCCTTCGTACATCTAGGTAAGCACAGGGTGTTGCCATTCTGCTACATGTTGTCCTCCCGCCAGTTCTCATAACTAATTACTGGCCAGTTGAGTTGAAGCAATGCATGGCGCAACAGATGTCACATGCTTCCTCAAACATTATGCGGACAAGGGGAAAGGGAGAGAGAGAATTCCAACTCTCTTTGTCTGTTGTAATGACTAATTAATCCTCTAGTTTACAAAGTATTTTGCTGTGCAGCATGGACAACTGGTTTGAAAAGTTTCAAGTCCAAAGCATATGCTTAGGCACATAGAACTAATGGAGAGAATATCTGGATTTGCTCCATAGCTTCCCACTGGATTAGGAAGGGTCATTGTTAGTCTTGGTGATAGTATAATGCTTGTCTTGCTGTTTTAAATTATGGGTTAATTTATGCTGAAATGTCATGAAACTTCATTGTACAGTGGTACCTTGGCTCATGAACTTAATCTGTTCCAGGGTCTGGTCGTGACCCAAACTGGTCGTGAGCCAAGTTAAATTTCCTCATAAGGTTCAATGTAAATAAGGTTAATCCGTTCTGTAACCATTTTTTTAAATCAGAAAAATGTGAAACGAAGTGACAAAGAACAACAAAGATCATGGCCATCTCCCCTCTTCACCCGAGCACAAGCGCGGCCATCTTCTCGCATCCGTCTTCCCTGCACGCGCCCATCATCCTGGTGCGCTGGGGCGGGAGAGATGGGCACGAATGAAGGCATGCTGGGGGCGGAGAGACAAGCGATCGCGGGTGCGCTGGCGGGGGGAGATGGGCGCAATCGTGCTGGGGGGGGGATGGCCGAGATCACGGGCGCGCTCATGCAGGAAAGACGGGCGCAATCACGGGCATGCCCATGCAGGAAAGATGGGCGCAATCACGGGCACGCTCATGCAGGAAAGATGGGTGCGATCTTGGCCATCTTCCCCCCACACCCAGCACAATTGTGGCCATCTCCCCACTGGGGGGGGGGGGGAGATAGCCACGATCAGGCCGCCACCCAATGTGGAGTTCACGAACTAAGTCAAGTTTTTAATGAAATTTTTGTTTGCGACCCGGTTTGGTAGTGAACTGAGGCGTTCGTGAGCCAAGGTACCACTGTACAAAGAAAATACATGTGGAAGTCTATCCATTTGAGACAATAGCACTGCTGGATTGGCTTAGTTACTGTACAGTCACAAGTCCACTTGCAAAAGTGTGCAAATTAAATTGTAACATTGGTAACTAGAAAACTTTATAACATACATATAGTGCCTTACCCAATGTGGGCAATCAGAACACTTTCTGGAATAATCACACAGACATCTACATTCCTATGCACTCTTGCTAGTGAATAAGCTCCACTGAAATCATATTAACTTCTGAGTAAACCTGCTTAGGCTTATACTCTCAACTTTCATTATTGTTGCTTTTCCGCCTAACTGGTCCTGACCTCTGGCAGATAATATACACTCCCTCCATTTCAAGCCAGCATGCCTAAGCTGTAGTGCATTCCATGCTTCCCCTGGGCTTTTGCTCTGCCATTGTGCTGTCACACACCGGCACCAACCAGGTGAAGCTCTTCCACTTTACAGTGGCAGGAGGAGAGTAAATGGGAGCCTGATCTGTAATCAGAAGTATTTGTGTTGGGTCTCTAGGAAACCCAAAAGAGGCATTAAACAGTCACCTGTTCTCTTGGGCCCTGGAACCCTTTAGGCACACAAAAACCTCTTGGTAGAGCAATTTCACACATGCATGTTCAACAGCAATGGTGACCTGCAAGACCAATAGGTATCACACATTGAGCACTATGAAACAGCTTGCTGTGCAGGATGATTTTGGTTAAAAATGACTACACAGTAATTGCCATCTGAGTCAGTTTGTATGTTCAGGGTATGGTTCATACATTTAGAGTTCACACATGTGTGTTTACTGGGTGACCACACATGAACACATTCAACACCAAGTTCACATCTGCCAAATAATGGCTAGATGTACCCTAGCAAGAATAGCTCTTTCATACTGTTTAAATAATTCCCATCCGTACATTGCTCATTTAACGATTTGGTAGTCCCTTATTAGCATCAGCTAGACTGTGACCCACAGCACTGGGGGGTTTTTTTTACAGAATAATGCCTTTTAAAATTATTGCATGTCATGAGCGGAGCTGGCTAGAGCCGGAGGTCAGACTAGATGGCCTGGGCGACCCCTTCTGACTCTCTCAGTTTCTATGTTTCTAAAATGCAACATCTCGGTCATACGACATATTGACAGCCAGGACTGAAAATGTGTAATAGCATTTGCCCCTTAACCTTGACCTTTCCTGCACTTTTGCTGGTCTCCTAAGTCATTCTTGGGGATTTTCATTGCAAGTAGGAACATTTCAAACCTCTCAACCCTGTTAGGCTATAGTTGTTCAGTGCTAGTTATAGACAGCCATGGGAATAGACAACCATCTCAACAAGAGGGAGGTTCATGTTAACCTCTGCCCCCCACCCCATGTACTGAAAGCATGTGCACTGAGATCACACTGCTGACTGGTTCTCATCTCACTTAACCTCTGCAGGGTTACCCAAATGGAATAATACCATGAAACAAATACATTACCAGGAAGCATTTCCAAAGAACCAAGGCCTTTAACATGCAAGAGGGGCTGGGAAAGGAAGTAAATTCAAGGTCATGATCCAGAGTACCACTCAGCCACTGTTTCCTGAACAACAGCCCCCATGCTACTGAGAAAGTTCCCAAGCTACCCTCTAAAGTAACTCTGCTATACAAAACGCAGCCACACAGCAGAGAAGTTTTATGTAGTGTTATGCTCTTACATGACACTGAAGAAACAATAAAATGGCATCACATTTCATTATTTGACTTCAGAGACTGGAATAGTAGAAGTTTCCAGGGAAATCATGTATTATATTTCACATTTAACTGATGATATTCATGGGGCTCCTGTGTATAGCTGAGTTAGTAAGAGCTGAGCAGGGCTGAGCAGGGTATTTTGAAGGGCATTCAGTCATAGGGCCACCAGAAGTTGGGGGCAATAACAACAGTTTTGTATATATCACATAATCTTAGTTCTACCACATTTTTTAACTTGACCACAACTACATTCACTTAAATTAATCTACTGAGCTCACTAAACTGTGGAAAAAGAAGAAATTGCTGGTTGTAATTACCTAATAATTACTATCTGACATGGCTAATGGACTGCTACTTAATGTATCATAAGAAAATGTATGCATCTGCTTTTTGAAATATCCTGTATATTGCTGGGTACTTTTAACAACAACTCTCAATTTGACTGAGAACTCAATTTATGCTGCAGTTCTATGCACACTTTCCTTGTAGCAACAAGGGGGACTTACCTCTGAATAGCCGTGTATAAGAGTGTACCGTTGAGGAAGAAAATTTCACTGACAGCTGAGATTGGATATGGGACAAAAATATACTTAGGCTTTTTCACCTTTGGATGCATTAGTTTCTACATTGTACAAAATATATATACTTTATAAAAATGTTACCTGTAAAGGACTTATAACTGTAATGGAACTTATTTTATTTGATCTATTTCTATGACCCTTTCTCCCTGAAAGCACATTTACATACAATACAAACTCATTCCTCTAAATTGCCTGAGAGATCTCCACAAGAGGACCCTCAGATACACTGGAGTGCTTGAGTTACAGTGTTCTTGGCCAAATGGGAGAACACACTGTGAAAAGGGCAGACCAAAAGTATTAAATTAAAAAATCAACTGTATTTTGCAATTGAGCATTATACCTATTATTCTAGAGTTTTTCTTCCGTAGGGTCAATATAACAAAGTATCACTGCAAGTATCAATACAAAAGCAAGAGGTTCTTACTGTCTTGAAACTTGTATGCTTACTTGTACTGTCAAGTGATGCCTGCATGAAAAATCATCACAGATCTGACATGGGAGATAAAACTTTATCGTCTGCTCACATCACTTTGAACTCAGTGTTTTGCTGTGCCTGTTCGTACATTTAGCTATGAGTTATCAACTATATAATATAGCTGTAATCAATAGAATTCAGTCCTTTAATAATTTTCCTTATGAAACTATAGATTAAGAAACTTGATAAAATTTCTCAGTGATTCAGAACAACACAACTTGGATAAATCACCTTTGATAAGTGCAGATGCTTTTATAGTCCCAGTCAACAGTTTTATTGCTATACAAAGACATACCCTTTCAATTTCACAGTAGATAGTCATATGGCACTTGGAAGGAAAGACCAGGTGCCCAAGACCAAGCCTTAGGACTCAACCTTACAGTTGCTGTTTTGTGCTTGGCCTCAATAGTCTCTCTTCTCCTGAAAAGCTGTTCATGAGAGAGCTTCAGTTCCTGGACAGTGATCTCCCCTGAGCTTTAGGCTTCCTTGCATAAAGCAAATCCTGGCAAGAATCCCAGAAACCTTAAGTTGTGCTCCACAGCCTCTGAAATGCATGGCAACACTCTTATTCACTGCAATATTATAAATCAGTCCTTAAGGCTCTTTGTTGGTAACAGTTCAGTGGGCTATGCAGCTACAGGTTTCCTGACAGCTATTCCAGAAGAAAGCTCTTTCCTTCCATTACTCCACCGTTTTCAGCTACTGTGAGTTTTAAAAATGTATTGCAATGTCCAAGAGGGAGCTCCAACAGAGACGGCATTATACAGACCCTTCCTGTCGCCCCTGGATTGCAGTTAGGACTGTTTGGCTACTCCTACCACCTGTCTGCACCTTAGTTCTATACTGGGATTTATTTAGCTGCATGATTACAAATGCAAAATCCAAGATCTGGCCCTCTTCAACAACTTACATTTAATTTTAAAAAGAAGGAGAAACAGGTTTCTACTTGCATACTTGTGGAGAAGCACAAATAATTGTGGGACATGTCTACAAGGGGCATTGTTTAGGGTGGGGTAGAGCTGGGTTTTTAGTAGTGAAGTACCTTTACTGCTCTGCACATCTTCCTAACACTTGCCATTGCTACAATTGCATCTCACTCAAACAATTTCTTCCCCTGCCTTTCCTCTTCCTGCTTATCCTCTGACAAACCTCATTTTGCTAGCAGGAATTCCATGCTATTTGAAACCCTGGGTTGTGAAAAGCAGAATTAATTATGCAAACTAAAGGCAAAGCCATATATAATTTGCATAATTTATTCCAAATGCAAAATTTTATTTTCCTTGCACAGAATTTGAAGTGCAGAAATTTGAAGTGCAGAAATCATCAAGAAGACTAGAAAAAATATCAGGAAATGTTTGCACAAATCAAGCACTTCCCTCATGCTACACAGAACTGGGGTTTTAGTACCTAGAAAAGAGGCTAAAGATCTCCCATCAAAATCTGGAAGCCAAAGTACATCTTCCCTATGAAAGAAGTGGACAGCAATGTTTTAAATGATACCATAGTACAGAGACAGCATAGTCCTCTTCTGTGATAGGCTTATTGGAAGAGACAACGGAAGCAGAGCTGTGCATCGCTCCATTGCATTTTCCCCTAGTTAGATATTCCTGGTTTGAAAGTGTAGTGCCAGATCAGTACTTCAAAGAGCTGCGGAGTACCTTGCACAAGTCCAGTTGGGAAGGGTCAACAGCAGGTCTTCAATTAGTGTCCATGTAGTTCATTAATAGATGAAGCAGCTGCAAGCTTGCAAAGTCTGTAGTAGTTCAAGTTGTACCAATCAATAAACTTTTGCTTTAAAAAATGTTTGCCCTTTGGGGCTGGATAAGCAGAATTGTGGCACTAAAATATGCTTATCCTTGCACATGTATTAGTCACATACATGAATGGCATTAATCAGTGGGAAGTGGGAATATATTGCTCTCATTTGATAGTTAACTTTAGACATTTGCAGTGCAGTTCTGGATTGAAGATGTTGGCCACTGTAAAACCTTTTGGCAAATGGCACGGCTAAACTCTGCTTAAGCTTCTGATGTCCCTTCTCCATTTTCATGAGGCTGCAGCTGTTCCCTTTCTTGTTCTTCCTGAGGTGGTCTCACGCGCTTGAAGAAGCCCACCTGTAATGTTGAGCAAATACAGAGCACACCGGGAACAAAATAACATCTTCAAAAGAAAGATCCTCATCATCCTCTCCCCCCACATGTGCAAAACCATTATTGTGGTTCGGTCTCGATTATGGTCAAGAAATGGAACCTGGGATGGGTCCATGAAGGTGGGTAGACTGCCCAATTTACTAAGCAGTCCTGAAACTGGAGACCACATTGCTACGAATGTTTTGATTACTTTGTTGGTCGACCAGTGAGTTAGGAAGGCCCAAGGATACTTCTGTAAAGAGACATTTAACGTCTGATTTTCAACTGTAGCCAAAAACATGAGCAAGGATTACTGAAATACTCCACTTACCTTGTACATTATAAAGACTAGGAGGCCCAAAAGTAATAATCCTGCTAAGACAGCTAGTGCAATTACCCATGCTTGCACTGCCATAGGTGCTGGCTGCATTCCCCACAAGATATTTGTGGTAACCTAATGGACAAAATAAAAAGTGACAATCTGCGTTACAGAGAAATAATGTAGAATTATCAGAGGTATGCTCTGAAATTTCATCACAACCTAATGCAAAGATTTGTATGGTTTACTGGGAGCCTGAAAAATTATTATTTATTAGATTTGTTTAAAAGCTGCCCATTAGCAACATGCTCTCTGAAACTGATATAATGAAGGTCAAGGAAAGAGGTTTTACAGGCCTATGACAGAGACTGTGTGTATACTGAAATTCCACAGGGGCAGATTCTGGTACTGCCTGCAGAATTCAGAGTTCTGAGAATTTCAGCTTTCATGTAAAGAAAAAAGTACAAGCTTCTTATGTCCTTGACAGCCCAAGAAAAAAGCCTGCTGAAGTCGGATTGTGGCTGAAAAATTTTTCCAGTGATTGTAGGATTGTAGGGTTTAGTGCCCTATGACAGCATAATCAAAGTTAAACAAATAATACTATGGGCTGGTTCATATAACTACACCTAAGTGAAAAAGTTATGGCAGCTTATTTCCCCTGTCATGTGTGTTGGCTGGATTTTTCCAATTATGCTCATGTGTGTAGCTTGCCACATCATCTAAGCCTGGTCCACATGGGTTATTTGAGGGTGCTGCCACTGCAAACAAGCCATGGTCCCTGGGTTCAGATGATATGATAAGCCACACCAGCAAAAGTAATTAAGGAAATCTGGCTGGCACACACTTGCCAAGTATGCTGAGATTGCATGACGTACGAATGAATGACAGAACAAACTATGCAGAATAAGGATTTGCAAATTTCCTTGATTTATAGAGTTTAGGCAGTTTGCAGAATCCAGTTTTGAATGGAGAAACTGGATTGACATTCTGTATTATGGCAATCTATAGAAGCATATATTCTGTAAATGCAGATGACTAACCCACATACCTATTTCAAAGACAGCCTAACCTAAGCTTTGAAAGCCTGGAAGTGATCCAAGAAGATGTGAATGAGCAAAAGGGCAGCAGACGTGTTTAGTTTAAAGTGGTTCTCTTTTTTAAGCTATTATTCTTTTTATTTATTTATTTATTTATTTATTTATTTATTACAATATTTATGCATATTTCATCACATAGCTGTCAAGCTGGTATACTAAGACAATATTAGAATCAGGAGCTCTGTTCCCTGTTACAGCTTTGGGAAGTTCTAGATAAATAACAGCTTGATAAGTGCCTTGTACAGGTCAGTCCTTTGCATGTTTACTGAGAAATAAATCCTACCATGTTGAATGAGGCTTAGGTGCACACAGATAGGACTGAAGCCCTAGCTTCTTTATACAGCATTATACTGGAGAAGATGCAGTCAGACTGGTCCATCCAAGGACAGAACAGCATAATTGTTTTCCTGCAATTTCCTCAGGATTGAACACGTGATATTTGTCTATGGCAATTCATTACACATGATTCATTCATTCATTCATTCATTCATTCATTGATATATCCTGGCATGTGCATAAAATGGCCCATACCACTTGACCGAACAAGATAATATGGTAGCAAAACCAGCTTGGATTCTGAGTTTGTTCCTGCCTCAAGCCCCCGTGCTCCAGTGCACTGGGCAATCCTCCAGACTGGGGGAGGATCTGAAAAAAATGTTGCCACTGGCCTCCACCCCTGGACCGAAAATCAACACACTTAATTCCTCCATCAATGGAAGGAGCCCTTCCTTTTCCTGAAGGCCATATTGAGAGCCAGGCTAATGACATAAATGAGGGTCAACTAGAAACCATGTTGTGTTTTCAGGCTTTGAAGGAGATACATTTGCTGAAGTGTATGTTAGCCAGCTCAAGGCTGCATCCTTCCCCTAGCTGCATTTATCTGGCAGTATTCTTAGCTGGCCCGTCTTCTGAGTAAACATGGATAGCATTGCACCGCCTGTTATTTGCTGACTGAACTGCCTGCCTACCAGGTTTGTGTGAATGCTATTCGGTATGCCAGTGCCAGTCCTACCGAAACAACCGAGACAAGTGTGGTGCAGCAGGCTGAGGAGCACTTCTAAAGCTTTTAATTGAAGGCTGGAATTTAATTAAAATCTTAAGCTGCATGCGATCAAATAGAATAAGCCCTACAATCAACTATTTAATATTGCTTAGGATAAATGTCGGAAGCTGATCAGTTGTGTGTTTCATTTTGATTACTCTTTTCAGCTTAATTATGGTGGCCTGGATCAAACTAATTTTAACTATCAAGCAGCTTACTATTGTAGAATTCTGGACGTCTTCAGGAAAGGGAAGATTCTTGTAGGGGAATTCAATAACACTGAAAGAAGCAGATGACTTGAGAGAATAGGAATGGTTCTGGTTTTCTTTCTGTGGTGGGAATAAAGGAGAAAAAAATGTCAGATCAAAACCTTTATCTGACATGGCAGGCAAAAGTTGTGGAAATAGTAACAGATGCTCACATTCATGAAGGTCTGAGTCCAAAGGCGAGATTTTAAATATAGAATTGCAGTCTTCCCCCTCTCTAGACGACCAACTTGGCAGAATATCTTTAAACATTCAGCAGTTCCACATCCCTAAGATTAAAAAAAGACGTGTGGGGAAGGTTAAGTATAAATTTTCACATTTTATCTTCTAATGCAACTGGTAACACACAATTATCCACACATATTACTTCCAGATTTATTTCTTAGGTCTGTGGTGTTTAACGTAGCTACATATTCAAGCTATGAACTTCTGAGCAGAAGAATAGGCTATAACATCCATAAATGAAATTACAGCAGCAGCAGCAACAGTTAAATGGTAATAACTGTGAGTTAAATAGCTGAGCTGAACTGTGGGCAGCCATCATTTTGAACATGCAACCCCTGATCAGGGGCCATTGGAGCTTGCACTGTGTTGGGCAAAACTGACCACCATGGGTTATCTGAGAGTTAAAGAACCCTCAAATAAGTCTCAATCAGTAGTGGGGTTGTACCAATGTTGTTTATCCCTTATATAATCCATGATCAGGGGTTCTAAACCACCCACAGAGCTTCGGCTATGGGTGGTACAGAAATGAAATTAATAATAACTAAATAATAATAACAATGGCCACACATGGTCGGACCCTATCATGCAAACTGGCTCAAGGCATCTTATTATATAACTGTTTTCCTAAGGGACTCTACAAAAACCCAGAATGCAGGTTTGTTTTGCCCATTTTCACCCTCAGTTAACCATCCATGTAACATGTCAAAGAGAGAAGAGTAAGGATGCTACTTTCACTGTTCATCCCGTCTGCAACAATGATGTCCTTTTCGAACACAGGAGGCATCACCCTTGAGCAGAGAGAGCACATGGCAGAAAGATAAGTCGTCAGCACCTTCTTTAAGCATTCCAGTGTCCTTGACTTTGCCATTCCTGGAAATGCTTTGAACAATGAGTCATTTGTCAAGCCGACAAATCAGTTGTAGTGGCTTGCACATCGTGCATCACGGGCTTCTGAAGTGCAATAAACATGAGGCATTAAATCACCTCTAGCCAGGGCTATTAAAATCCAATACCTGCTGCCCTGCAGAGATGAAAGTAATGCTGCACTTCCTCCATTTTCTCCTGATCATCGAAAAGACTTGAGGTAGCTGCATTTCAAATTGCCATTAAGGTATGTATGTATGTATTTATTTGATCAATATCCCACTTTTTTTCTTACGAAGAACTTAAAGCAGCTTTCATCATTTTCCTCTTCCTGCTCTCAGGCTTATCCCAACAACTGCCCTGTGGGGTAGGTTGGGCTGAGAGTCTGTGACTGGCCCAAAGTCACCCAGCTGGCTCCATGGTTGAGCAGGGACTAGAACCCAGATCACCTGAGTCCCAGTCCCATGCTCTGAACCACCGCATTGCTGGCATCAAAGCAGTAGTGAACTGGATGTGACAAAAGTATGATGTTTGATTATGACCCAGTCTTAGAATTTTGTCATTTTTGCAGATGCAAGTCATACATATCATGAAACCCATACTCTGTAAAGTCTGTGCATGCTTGTAAGCTTGAGCTACATCCATGTGTTCTGAGAAGTATCTTTGCATGCTCCATCTGAGTCCAATGGCGCAAATGTTTATAAATCATCCACTATAAGGATTCTTTGTCACAGGGGTCATGAGTTGAGAACCTTGGGGAATTAGAACTCCAAAGCTCAGGATTTTTGGGCACTGTGGACCGGTAAAAATAACATAATAAGTGATATATGCTGTCCTTGCATCACTGTGAAATGCCCCCAAGAATCTTGCAGAGACTCTTAAAGTGAATATACTTCTAACTAAGCATTAAAAAACCCTCCGGCAAATACTGGTGGCCAATTAACTGCACTGCTGGTTGGATAATTTATAGCCCTATTGAAAGCAGAACCAGAGAAAGGAGGAGTGCATCGTTTCAGACTGCTTGCTGCAACTGTTTGCATTGTACCATTACTGTTGATTCTGTTAATTTACTGGGCTGTAATTCATAGTGGGAATTTGCTAGTTCCCTCTGTAGGTTGCAAGTTTCAAGAGTGCTTGAATACAACAACCCGGCACCACCCCGCTCAAAGCACGTGAAGGCAAAATTATGTGTACTCCTATATCTCTGCGTCCCTTCATGTTAACCATCAAATAGAGGGGGCAATACAAATTTCTGCTACATGCAAAACACAACACCCCACCACACATACACAGACTACACAAGTGCACACAGAAAGCAAAGGAAGCTGTACTGACCAAAAGGGGGGGGGGAATCAAAAGAAAAGTATCCAAACCTTTATCACTGTGATACTTTTATCAAGCCAACTCTCTTTGGCTGGACAGCACATTGGGAACATTTAGAGTATTGTAGGCTGTCTCAGAAAGTGGCTGGTATGGGGGCTTGTCCACTCATAAAATGGTGGCCACCATGGACATGGCTAGTCACAAAACTGTAATTTCTCAGAAGACAACCAGGAAGTCTACAAGGCAAGTATGCAAAGCAACTTTTTTGAACCCAAATAAAGGTGGCACTTCATTTTGTAGTACATTAGCATCCTAGGTGATTTTTAAAAATTTTAAGAAATAGAATAAAAGCTAAGAGGAACAAGAAGTTTCATGGGCCTCAAGTTTGGTGGGCACCATCCTGGAAAACCCGTTCTTGTCGCATTTGCCAAACTATGGTGTGTGTTTCTGGTTGCTATTGATAGCCTCACTCCCCAGGCTTAAATCCAAGGATGATCCAAGGAATTAAGTGTCTTAACCATTCAGAGGCACACTTCTGAGCACCTCACTCATTGAGGAAGAGATGTACAAATGTCCCTTTTTGAAGGTTTGCATTAGTCAGAATGTATGGGCTTACATGTGTACCCAAATTTCAAGACTCTGCTCATTCAGAAACATCAAAACAAGCCTGTGACTGAATGAGTTATGCAGTGAGCAACAGGCATCTTTTCTATAACTACAAGAGGTAGGCAGAGACAAAGAAAGCTGATACACAGAAAAGTTCAGAAACAATTCCACTAGTTTGCTCAGCTTGCTCATTTTTCTCTCTCCTAACTTCCCTAATGCATCTGCCATTCATGGTCAACCAGGTCAACAAGTTTCTAACAGTATTTGGTTTATAGAACAATCATTTACGATGCAGTCAGTGTTTCAAAAATTCTGTCTTTTCCTAAAACATGCCAAGCAATCATTTGCAAAGAGACTGACATAAAGACATTTACCAAAGTTTGCACATCGCCCTCGCCCTCAGCAGCACTTAGGTCCCGCCGGTTGATGTTGTGATCACGGTTATCTTCTCCATGAACTGTTTCATTCTTTTCATCATGGGGAGATGACACCTGTGGCATCAAAAGTGGTTTAGTTATTGGTACAGTTCTTCCAGTTTGTGAATGGATGTTCCACAGAAAACAGTGGAACATGAGAAATATGGACAAAGCAAGCCTCTGCACATCAAAGCAAGGGTGGACAACATGGCAGATCATTTATGTGACAGGAATCAGTTGGCAGGTCCCAGGGCCATGCAACTCTCACTCTCGTGTCCTCCACCATGGCTGAGGGAGAGTTGGGAAGCTTTTGCTTCATTTTTCATTAACTGCAGTCTGTCATGTCATTGAAACCTGACAAATCTGGCTTGTTTCAACAAAACCAAAGTTACAACTGATCCACGTCAAGAGTTCCACCATGGCTAACTGGAATCAGAAGTGGAAGCGTTTTATTGTCTCCTTCTTGCAGCCACACTAGAGGAAGAGAAAAGAGGGAGTGCACAAACCCTGGTTTATTCCTGTCCTGATGCATCAAAGTGTACCTGGACACCAAAATGCAACAATTAGGTTGCTTCCAGTGTTAGACAACCCAAGATGATATGCTATGTCAGAGGCAACTGATTTTTTTCAATTTGGGTTCCCCCATTCAATCTCCAGAGATGCTGGAGTGCACCTTTCCAATTGTGTATTGAAGATGTTTCCTGGGCAGCTTTTACAGATGGATTATTGCTCATATCAACATTTATCAACTCAGCGCCAGAGCTCTGCAAACCAATGTCCCATTCAAAGTGTAAGATACTTTTCCCCAGGTGATGAGTATCATTATTAATAATCACCTTCACTGCCTAAGACATATAAGACAAATTGCTTGGAATATAGATCATCCAGAGGCTATCAGCTTACCTTAATTTTAAATGGATTAATTTCCATATCAGAAGTGCAGTTCATAGGCCCTTCAATTTCATACTTCATAATATACAAAAGGGTGTTATTGTTGTACTTATATGGCCACTGAAGATTGAGCATCACCTTGCTGAAGGCACTTGGGCCATTATTTCTGAGCTGTTAAGCAGAAGGAAAAAGGAAATGATCGTGAAGAACTCTCTCATCTCTTTGTATGGTTATAAGAGCAGGCCTATGTGCACAGCTAAACAGTTCTGTGCTGTTTACCTCTGAAAACAAGGATTGTAAGCACAGTCTTCACCAGTCTGGTGCCTTCCGGATGTGCTAGACTGTATCTTCCACCATTCTGGGAGTTCAGTTCAAGGCTGAGCTAAGTTTAGAGTGCCTAACTTAGAAAAAAGGTAAGTAAAGGGAGATGTGACAGAAGTGCTGAAAATTATGCATGGTGTGGAGGAAGTGGAGAGGGAAACATTTTTCTTCCTCTCCCATAACACTTGAACTCAGATCATCCCATGAAGCTGATTGGTGGGATGTTTAGGGCAGATAAGAGGAAATACTTCTTCACATAATGCACAGTTAAACTATGCAATTCACTGCCAGAGGAAGAGGTTGATGGCCACCAATTTGGATGGCTTTAAAAGGGGACTGGACTAATTCATGAAAAAGGGGCTACTAGCCTTGCTGACGGTGTGCCATCTCCTTTATCAAAGGTGGCATACCTGCCACATACCAGCTGCTGAGGATCTTGAGGGATCCTGTGGACAGCAGTTTGCTACTGTGTGAACAAAATGCTGAACTGGATGGACCACTGGTCCAATCCAGCATAACTTTTCTTATGTTCTTCTGTTGTTACGTTCTAACTTGAAGTAACTATCTTGAAGCAGTGCAGCATAGTGAGGAATTGTGCCATCCCACTTCTACAATTTAAGGTGCTGGTGATATCTATAAAGCCCTAAACGGCTTGGGTCCGGGATACCTGAAGGAGTGCCTTCTTCCCTATGTGCCCTCCCGCCCCCTGAGGTCTGAGGTGGAGGCCCTGCTCCAGGAGCCCTCCTTGAAAGAGATTAGGAGGGTAACGACCCAGAGGAGGGCCTTCTCAGCGGTGGTGCCCTGACAATGGAATACGCTCCCAGAGAGGTTCGCCTGGTGTGGACGTTATATTCTTTTTGGCATCAGGCAAAACCCTTTTTATTTTCCCATTATTTTAATGTTTAATTGATCTTAACTGGGGTTTTAGTATTTAATTGTTGGATGCTACAGTGTTTGTTTTATTCTACTCATTTTTTGTAAGCCATCCCAAGTAGTGGACGGGTTAGAAAAGCTTTTAATAAATAAATAAAACAGGCCTTAGAAAGGTAAATCCTACTTTCCTGCCATATTTTTCTGCCCAGCCACTCGACATTCTTGCACTCCACTTTTGTGGTGAGAATTGCCCTTCTGGGGAGTAGGTATATTCATACAGGGGTGAAATTAGGCAGGCCATTAAAATATACCAGTAGTCCAACCTACCAACCTGTGACACCAGCCCTGGAGAGAAGCATGGTCTTCTTGCAAGATAGCACCAAGAGGACAAACCGTCTTTGAAAGGCTCAGCAGAATCTGGTAGGCCTGACTCGACCTACCCTTTCAAAGCAGGTTTGTCAGCTTGTAAGCTGAGTTGCTACAGGAGAGAAGGAAAGTTCTCCATTTCTAGCAGGCATCATGTCTTGGTCCCAATCTTGAGAACAAACTTTTACCTCATAGATGTGTTGAACTAGAGGCCCGATGTCATCCTCTGTTTCTGGACTCTCCTTGGGCTGCCAGTTGGGAATTGGCAGAAAGATGTGATCAGGGGAAGAGACCCTAAGTTGTGTAAGAGAGACAGAAAGATCATCAGAGACTGAGCATGTGACCTGCGCCACACAAAGGGGAAATAAAGGCAGATGGTAGCTCAGCTGGTTATCTGAAGAAGTGTCTCTTCCCATATGTGCCCACCTAGACTCAAAGCCATCACCTAAGGTCCTTCCCAGGGAGTCCCCTCGGAAGGACATGAAGAGGGTGGCTACGAGGAGAAAGGCCTTCTTAGTAGTGGCACCCCCACTCTAGAACCAGCTCCCCAAAGAGGTTTGGCTGGCACCCTGTGTTTTACTGCTGTTATTTTATGCTTGTAGTATGTTTGTCTATTTCAATATTATTGTTTCATTGTGTATGTAGTTGTTATTAGATGTTGTAAGCTGCTCAGAGAGTCATTCTGGCTAATGGACAAGGTAGAAATTTAATAAATAAATAAACAAGTCAGCACTCACCCTCTGATCTCGACAGCTGCTAAGATGGCCAGGTCCGCCTGGTACGATGCCACCGGGCTTACATTGTTGAACAAGTTAGAGCTGTAAAACAAGGCAATTACTCAGCAAGACTCAAGTTATGTACTGCCATCAGAGTCAGAAGCTTTGAGTATGCTCAAAAAGCTCTTTGGAAATCCAGTAGGGTATCTCAAGTGAGTTGTTACTTCTGTGGCACATGAAGAGAGACTGACACCTTCATTCTTTTATGTGATTATTGTTTTATGAACTTCCAAGCATTATATTACAACCAGCACCCTAATGCAGCAGTGGGGGGCACTTTTAAACAATTTCAGAAGTCTCAGGGGCTGCAGGCAATATAGATGAGTCACACTTCTCAAAAAACAAACAAACAAACACCATGTTTTTGCTTAACACTTTTACTGCAAGGGACTAAAGCTTAGAAGAGACATTTTAATCTATTAGAACCAGTGCAGAGTTTGGAAGCTGGCTCCCGCTTATAGCATCATGGCTCAAAACCATTGCCAGCCTCCACTGAAGGCAGTTCTCTTTTTTTTTTTTTCACCGCTGGGGCAGTGGGAAGTGAGTGATTTGAAAATCCTATGGCTCTTGGACCAAAGGATTGTATGTTTAGTTATTACCTGATATTTGCAGATAGCATCATCTGTTTTTGTCCCAGACACCAAAATATGCTAGACTATCCCTGGGCAGATGTTTCATCCTCATTGAACTTTTAAGGAAATAATTTGAAATAGAACTCCATCCATTATGCACACACACACACCTCTCTTCTTTATTGCTCTTTCCCGTTTATGAGCCTTGCAAATCAATGCCTTCCTGTTATATAGTATGTGAACAGCTACGCTGAACACCTACATCTTTGCAGTTAAAAATAATGCATTAGCCATGCTGGCCTGACTAATGTTACACACGCTGTATGTTACTGAGAACAGGCTTTGGTAGAGAAACAGTGGTCAATCTTTTAAATTACAAAGGCCACAAGCATAGGAAAACCCTCATTATACTATTAATGACACCCAAAGGGGGAATTAATGGTATGAAAATAGAAATATATGAGTTGGATCTAGTCTTAGTCATATTTAGAGTCATACCTGAACATTGACTGGTACATGACGGGACACGTTAACTGTCTGCATCAGGACCAGTCTCTTCCTGCAATAATTTCAGTGGTTTAAACTGTTTTACATTTTGTATGTTAAAACTCTTGTACCATGTTTTATCTTGCATTTGTGGCTTGTAATCTTGTGAAGTGCCTGGAAAGGCTCAAATGAAAATAGTCGTCATACGAGTAAATAAAGTGGGCACACAGCAATTTGTGGGACTTAGGTGAGCCATGAAATTAAATTAGTTGGGGAGGGGCCAGAGCTCAGTAACAGAGCGTGTGTTGTCCATGTAGCAGGGCTAAGTTCAGTTCTCAGCATCCCCAGGTAAGGCTGGGAAACAGTCCCACCTGGAACCTTGGAGAGCCCTTGCTGACCAGACTGGGCCAGACAGACCAAGGGACTGATCCAGCATAAGGCAGCCTCCTTTGTTCCCAGGGCTGCCTTCTTCCACTGATTTCAGTGTACTGGAAGCACATAACTGGGCCCAGTCTTACTTTCTACATTGAAAGCATAACAGTGACACCGTAATATTATTTCAGGGTTCCTCTCATCTACTTTTAGGGTGTTATCCATCTGTTAGGGGATGATAATGGTAGCAGCAGCAGTGTTTTAGCACCTCAGAAACAAATATGGTTAGTATATAGGTAAGTAATCACACACAGTGCTGGGGAAAGTTGAAGGTGGAAGATGAAAAGGAAGACCAAATAAGAGATGGATCGATTACGTCAAGGAAGCCACAGCCTTGAATTTGGAAGAGCTGAGCAGGACTATCATGCATAAGGCATTCTAGATGGCTTTCATTCATAGGTCAGAGATGACTTGATGGCACAGAACAACAAAAACGAATGACACACTATGTAAGTGCTTCTTACCTACGTATTTGTAGGTCAAATTTTACAAAGGTATCCATTTCAGATTCTTGATGAACACTAAAATGAAGACCTGCTGAGAGCTTTAACAAAGAAAAAGACATTCAGGATTTAGCATGCGACAGGCAGAGACACTGGCTCAAATCCACTCTGACTTATAAAACTAACCAAACATCAAACTATAACGCTGCCTCTTTTTAGATAGTGGCCCCAATCCAGTAATCTCCTTTCGGTTTGTCAATAGCAACAAGCAAGCAGTCACTCATTCTTACTTTTGTTCCCGCTTTCATAGGATTTCCAAGGTCACAGACAACCAGTCGAGTTTGATTCTCAGTTTTAAACGCACATGAGAGCCTTGCTAATGCCTGCAGCAAAACAAAGTGAAACTTTTTCTAAGAACAGTACAGTACTTCCATTCCCTTAAAAAATTGAAATAAAAAGCCAAAATGCATACACAAAACTTTCCAGTCTTGTTAGTCTCAGTTCCAAAAGATTTTTGCAGGCATATATAAAACAGCAAAAGCTATTCTTCACTCAGTTACAAACTGTGCTACTGTCTTGTTCAGGCATTCAAGAGAATATGTAAGGGCTCAAAGTAGATACCAAGATGGGGTCCTAAGCCCCTGCACCACCCTCTGTGTCTTCAGGTGGACTGCTCCCACCCCCCTCAGTTCAGGCCTTGCCATGTGGAACAAAGAAGGTCTGAACATGCTCAAGGGACTAAATCTAGAACTCCCTTTCTGAACTCGGTTTCATTTTCCTTCCTTTCAGACATGTCATTGTTCAAGGACACCATTATATGGTTATTATACAGAGAGGCTGACTGCTGCAGTTCACAGACGATATCAAAGTCCAATGCAATGGGTTGCCGTCTGCTCCAGGGAGTGTTTACTCAGACACACATCACAGCTTGATCAATGGACCTTCACTTCCTTGCAGACCAGGGCTAGAATGTCTTTCAGCCAGAGGACTAATTCCATGTTGGCAAAGAACTGGGGGCTACCTTCCAATGGTGGGTGGGGTCAAGGCAACAGAGACGTGGCCAAATATACTAGCGTGCTTAGCTTAAAGCCCTTCCTGCCACTCATCTTTAGGAGAGGTGTTTCAATCTCTTAGAATCAGGAAAACACTGCCTGAAAGAAAGGAACATCATTCATTCAAAACATTTGCATGCCACCCAATTGTGACACAGCACCTCTGGGCGGCTCACAATTACAAGATAAAGACACAATAAAAACACAATAAAAACCAGTAACATCACATTAAAAATAAAATAACAATGAAATATAAGCAGAAATACAAAACAAAGGTCATATGGCATTAGTTGCTAAACTATTTTTTAGAAAGGAAGGTCTTTGCCTGCTGCTGAAATGAAAGTAAGGAAGATGCCAGGCTCTTCCTTGGGGAGAGCATTCCAGATATGGGGAGCAGCTGCAGAGAAGACCCTCCCCCTAGTGGCTAAATCTCTCACCTCCTTAAGGGACGGCTCATACAGGAGGGCCCTCTGCATGGAACTCAAGTCCTGATAGGCACATGCCAAACCATCCGTGGTTGGGGGAAACAGGAGGAGGAAAGGGGAAGGGGCTGTGGAAACCCTGGAGGACTGGCTTTGACCCTTAGGCCAGAGGTTGCCCATTCCAGGTATATAGGAGTACAGTCAAACATGGAAGTGGGTCCCAATGAACACAGTGGGACTTACATTTGGGTATATATTCTCCAAAGCCCAGGTGGTTAGGCCCAAGTATAACCTGCCTTCAGAGTTTGGAAGAGTTTTCCTCTCTCTTTCCTCCCTTTGTTACTGCCCATGCCTGGCCCAGTCAAAAAAGCTCTCGGTTGTCCATCTCCCCAGTGGCTGAGGTGCTGTGGGAGGGTGGGAATGGGAGGGGGAAGGTGGCAATGTGCACATCCCATCCCATTACCCACTAGGCTCAAAGGAATTAATAGGGTGGCAGCTGGTGTAGCTGAAGACTGGTCTTAAGTGGACCCGGGGCCAGTTCTAGAACCCAGGGAGGAAAGGGCCCAGTTCTTCCTCCCCCACCCTGCTGCCATCACTTTCCTCTGCTCAAGATGGGCACACAACTGGAACACTCAGGGCCTTGTGCCCCGAAGGGGAAAGCAGCAGCTGCGAAGGCGGCAGCTCTTGCAGCCTGGGCTGATGCTGGCAAACTTGAGATGGGGCTGATGGGCTGCAGTGATACAGGTCCTGAGGCTACTGTCTGGCCTGCAAAGCCTCTCAAGGCCCCATCTGAACCGAATGTAGAAGGTGGTGGCAGGACAGACAGCAGGAGGAAACGGAGGGAGAGGCCAGTCCAGTCAATTAAAACGCTTCCTTGCTCTTTTTCTTTGTTCTGTCTTTTTTCTCCCTGACACATGCACTGTTTTAGGCCAGGTTTTGCTGTCACAATACATTATTTGTTATCCATCATGGGTATCATACTTAAGCATGCAAAGGATTACAGAACATTTATTCTAATCTCACTTGTGAATTCTATTTTACACTCAGGAAGCAGAGGCTGAGGGGAACAGGAAGGGAGAAACAGATTTGCTGTAGGCTGTCTAAGGTGCATATAACTAAAGACCCTGGTCCACATCTCGTACTGTGCTCACTTCCAAAAGGGCAACCAGGCTTTACTTAAGAAGCAGGTAATTGCTTTCCCTAATGGACGGACATCTACATTGTCTAATCCATGAAATGAGCAATGTCATTGCTGAATCATGCAAGCTGTCTAATTCATGAAATTGAGAATCTCTTTGCCTAATTCATAAACTGTCCAAGCTTGTTGGGCATTTTATCTTGATAGCAGTTTGGATATGAGAATTAAGCAGCAATAATGCCAACTTCATGAGCAATTTTATTATCCTCCTCCTACAGATCATGATTATTATCTTTATTATTTTTAATGTATGTAGTTATTCCCTAAATCCCACTTAACATATTTTAGGCTGATAATTGGGTTTGTCATTAACCCTAAAAAATTTCCAAACATCTTGGATGGACAACTCTTACAGTGGCAGAATTTTCAGGTAAATTCAATGAATTTTGAAAATGTAATTATTGTCATATTAGGGAGAAGACACTGACAGCTCAATACCGGTGCTGGTCTCTTGAGAATGCTCTGTTCATTTCCCAAGCTATAAGAGGATGAGCCTGAATTAATTTAATTACCCAATGCATGGCTCTAAGCGTCTCAACAGAAATAGCTTTGTCTTGGCACCTGGGCTTGGTTCAGCACTGGCTGTTCATTGTTGCTAGACAGACACCTCTCCCTCAGTTTTGGGAAAGGATCATCCAGCTTTACAGCTCCAGCTGGCCAGACCACACGGGTCACAAGAACCATACAATTAACTGAAGGGATGAAACAAAAGAGCTATGACAGGTCAAGGCAGAAGTGGAGAGGCTCTGGGGGAATGACAATGGCTCATTTTATCTAATACCTTAGTTATTTAAATGCTATGCAAGCAAAAAACAATACAAGGGCAATACTATATTTACCCATTTAAAATCACCAGCATCTATCATAAAGACATGCGGCTCAAGGGGTTGGGAAGCCAATATATGGGTTCCTTGGCAACATTATGTCATGGTGTTCTTCTTTCAAACATTTGGGATGCACTGAACTAGTACCTGATATGAACATACAACATGGTTATATCAGATCAGATTTGCATATGGGAGATCTGCCCTATTTGGGAGCTTAGGTTCCATAAGGATACTGTCCTTTGCATGTCAGGACAGAAATAAGCCCTGCAAAAACTCACCCAGCCATTTTGGGAGATTTTCCTGCCTAAACAAGCATAGCATTGCACCCTAAGTGTCCCTTTCAAAGCCCCTTCTGGCTTGTAGCTGCCATTTCATATCCCCGGCCTCAAGGAGGGCAGCATGCAAGTATGTGCTAAGCAAATGTCTGCACCCTATCTTCATTCATTTTACTAAAGTCGCACGGTGCCCATCAGTCTTGCCATTTTATACATGAGGAACTGAGGCCAAGACATAGAGATCTATCTAGTGGATTCAAAGAAATGGGAGCTTCCATCCAGGTCCTATTTCAAGCACAAACATCTGTCTGCAGTTACTGCAGGCCAACTGAATATGGGCCATCAAACAAACTCAGCACTTCCACATTATGTTTCTTATCAACCGAACATTTAATAACCAAAAGCTTAAAGAGTGTCCAACACTAGAGGAATACTTCGAATTTGATTTTACAAGCATCAACGCTTTCCACACGCCTGTGAGACTTACCTCATTGTTGCGAACTATGCCAATGAAGTCAGCTTGAGGCGGGACGGTGACAAAGAGCTCCGCTTCGTAGGCTCCCTCTCCTAGGTTATGGGCATTGACAATTAGGGTTAAAGGATTGTCATCTCCAATATAGATTTGCTTCTGATCACTGCACAGGACCAATGCAAAAGAAAAGTCAGTCAAATATGGGACAAAAGGAGCCCTTTAGTTCCAAAGCGGGCAACATTTTCAGGGTCTGGGACCATGCCGGTCCCTGCAGAACCCTCTGGAAATCACATGAATGGTGAGTGGGGGGACCTACACCCCCATTTGTCCCCTCCCTCCCTCCCTCTCCCCTCTGTCCCTTTACTTAATACCATATCGTTCTTGAAAGCCCCGTTCCTCAGGAAGCACACCTCCCATTAAAACAAACACATTTTGTTGATGTCCCAGTGAAGGCCAAGGCCCAGGCGTGTGATATTTTAATGGCCTGGGCAACAATTTCTCTTGGTGTTCCTAGAAAGAGCTTTCTTTGCCAACTTGAAACCAAAATGCTATAAAAGCAGCCAAGGAGCAAAATTTGTCCAAAGCTTCCAGACTCCTGAAGCAGACAAAGGTGTTCTCTGCTCCACCTTTTTGTTTCTATCAGCAGACAGAAGGCATCTGAAAGCTCCCAAGCACTGTCATAAATTGTGATGGTCTTCATCATGGAAAGGAGGGGGTGTGGATGTCTGTGATGAGCCAAATGTGTACAGACTCTTGACTTCTACTGTATCTGGTCACCCTGCGTACATGTAAGTTTAATCAACAAAAAAACAGCTAGGCCTCAAAAAGATACATTTGCAAACAGTTCTGCCCTCTGCTGGATAACACTACTCAGGACCATCCCTGTACTTAATACAAATACTTATGCACCCCATGCAAATGCATGTTAGAGCTTACTGATGTGTTTTTGTCTTTTTAAAAGTAAATTGGGACACGTGAATTTACTCTTGAGAAATAGCTGATAAGGAAAGGTGTGCTTAACCTTTCGGCTGTTGTCCCTATTCCAACTTCTGCCTCCTTCCCATAGCAGTCCTTCCCCCTACAGGGTTCAAGATTCATGTTTGCAGTTGTAAATATGTATCTGACACTTCTGAGGGAGAAAAAAAATCACAGGCACATCCATCTGGAATGGAAATAGTGCAGCTGGCTAAGTACCCCTTTCCTCTCTTTGCTCTAAATTGCCCCACCCCAATATTGTAATGTTCTTCCTTAAATTCATAGAAAGCACAGAAGAATGTTGTAGAATTGCCACAAATTCTGCAAAAGCAGAGCTGGATATACCACATTCACTTTTCTCTTGTATCAGAATATGCTTATTTATTTATTTGTTTGTTTGTTTATATTTATAGGCCGCTTATAATTGCCGAGGCCTTCCTAGGTGGCTTAGCTTGTGGACCACCACAACTCACCCCCTCCCCATTCAGATGAACACATCTTAATACATCAAGCTGTGAAGAGGCCACTTATTTATTTATTTATTTATTTTTCGATTTATATCCTGCCTTTTTTCTACAAAGGGCTCAAGGCAGCTTATATCATCTCTCCTCCTCCATCTTATCCCCACAACAACCCTGTGAGGTGGGTTGGGCTGAGAGTCTGTGACTGGCCCACAGTCACCCAGTTGGCTCCAGATCGTCTGAGTCCCAGTCCCACGCTCTTAACCACTACACCACACTGGCTCTCATGCATACATGCAGCTCCTTGGCTTTAAGCAAGCACTAACTAAACATTATTTTTGGTTTCAGCTGACCAGGAAATCATGGTTACTAGCTTCAGGATAAGCTAGGATATTAAACCATGATATAGAGTTATTTTACTATCCTTGCTTGTTATTAAGCTGATAGCTACAGTTTTCCACGTCAGACAAAACCAAGAAACTACAGTTAAGTAGAGGCTTCCTGACTCCCTTGCTTGTGCCAGGAAGGGAGAAGCACAGAAGCTTCTTGCATCAGCAAAAGTCTCCTTCTTCTCTTGGTGAATGACATATGATTGACTGAAGCAAATTTACAATTCTAATTTCCCATTTTCCCATTTTTATTATGCATGGTGTGAAGTGGAGAGGGCAACTCCCCCCCCCCCCAGTATTACAGCACAGGGTGATCCCACTGAGCTGACTGGTGGAAAATTCAGGACAAACAAAAGGATGTGCGTCTTCACACAAGTACATAGTTAAATTATGTAATTTGCTTGCTCAGGATGTAGCAATGGCCCCAGATGGGATGTGTTTGGAAGAGGATTGGACAAATTTATGGCTCCTAGCCCCGATGGCCGTATGAAGCCTCTGTGTACCAGCCGCTGGGGACCTGGACAGGAGGGGCTGTTGCACTAATAATCTGCAAGTGGGATCCTCTGGGCAGCTGGCCGGTCATTGCATGACCAGAATGCTGGTCTAGATGTACCTGGGTCCAACCAAGCAGGGCTTTTCTTATGCTCTTACCTGTCGACTGTCACTTTCAGATCTGGACGGCAGATATTGTCCTCACCGCAATCTAGGAGAATATGAGCCTAAATTTGAGAAGAGAGGCAGAACTGAATGCCTGGGGCTTTAACTGCTCCAGCATTATCAAAGTATTTATGGATGATATAATTCCCGATATCACCCTGTTTTTTACCCTAAGCACTAAAATAACTGATGACATGAAAGCCTTTCAGTATGGGAATGAACTCTGTGCTAAAACAGTTCACTGTTTACTGAGTTTTGTCTTTAAAACAAAGGAACAGTGTACACACATATTTTTCAGCACTGGAGTAAAAGGCTAGAGTCAAATCTGAAAATATTTTTTTCCTTTTAAAAGGGATGACCAGGTGAGTACTCCACTTCATGCCACACTTCCTCTGAACTCTCATAAGAATTATTTTTAGGAGAATTTGTTGGTGCAGAAGTGCAGTCGGGCATCCTGTCCCATGGCTTTGTACCTGTCTGCTGAGGTTTGCAGGAGTAAATTGGTTGAGGATTGGCTGCAACCCAGTGGTATCTGAAGCTGTTTTGTAATCCAGCTGATATTCCATGAATATGGTGATCGGAGTAAGTTTGTCTCGAAATTCAGATTCATCCTAAAAGTGAACAAAGGGAGGTTGGTTTTGCAGTACATCAACCACAACCACAACTAGGATTGAAAAAAGTATACCACATTATGAATCTGAATTTTAGCAAAGATTTACTAGGACGTTTTATGACTATCCACAGTTTTAATAAAAACAGGATTGGAATGGAAGTAAGTATTTCAAAAAGAGAACATCAGCCATTTTATAGATGCTTTAAAAGTAAAATTGAACAGGGAGAGTCCAGAATCCCCAGATGTTTGGGAAGCTGCAGTAACACTGAATGACTCAGATGCTTCAGTATATGCTGTTATTTTCAATGTAATGCTTAGTTTTCTCTGGATCACATCACAAGAATAAGTTAACTACAAAAAGCATTTCAAGAGTGATGTGGGGGTAAATACTTTTTTTATTAAAGAAAGATACTGGCCAGCCATGATACGTATTAGCAGTGCCACTCTCTCCAATTGTCCCAATAAAACCGTAGACCCTTGGTGGCAAAGTCAGCTTTCCTTCCCAAGCCGCTGGGTGAAGAAAAGGCTATGTTTATGCCCTTCAGCACATGAAATAGTAACGGAGTCAGATCTTGAACAAAGCTGCTCTAACTGCCCCCTGCCAGAAGGGGAGGGCCAGAGCTCAGTGGCTCCCAGGTTCAGTCCATGGCTTGTTCTAACAGAGTGTGGAAAGAAACCTGCCTGGAATCCTGCAAAGCCATTGCTAGCCATTACTGACAACACCACGTAAGACAGAGCACTAGCCAGACAGTAAAAAGCAGCTGCCTGTGTAGGGACCATATTCCACCTCACAGCCAAAGTGGGCATGAAAACCATGACATCTGCCCTGGATTTGGGGCAGCTGGAAGTTTAGGCATATATAGGAAGAGGGCGATGTGCTGCGGAGAATCGGATGTGTGCTCTTACCCTTAGGAAAGCCTGGAGTTCTTCACAGCTCATTCGGCCCCCTTTTGGGACAGTCATATTCTTAGAATGAGTCGGCTGCCTGTTATAGAGAAACAGGGCTCTCCGTATGGCGCCTTTTTGTTTCAGTTTGTCCAAAAGCAGCTCCACGTGGAAAGCTAGTGCCAAATACAAAAGCATATTTGTCAGGCAGACACAGCTGGTGAGGCAATGCATAGAGGTCAGAGGCGCTGCCCCGAGCAGAGGCCAAGATGGGCCCTAAACTTCTAGGGGCAGAGGATGCAGGGTGAGGGGAGAGCCAGCGCCACCCAGACACATGGTTGCTGACGGGCTCGGAGTGCCAGCACAGGCTGCCAGCTTCGGCACCTGCCCGCACCTAATCAGTGCTCGCAGTGAGTCAGTAGTGACACACCTTCACGGGGCAGATTCCAGCTTCTTTCTGCTTCCGGAGCGGCCTCAAGCGCCCCAGCCTGCCCGCCGCTCAGTGCAGAAGGCCTGTCCCTGGCTCTTATCTCCCAGCACCCCACCCCCTGACACCTCTGCATGTTCAGCCTTTGAGTTGCTCTCTTAGTGGTGCCTCCTAGGCCTTTCCACACAATACGTTCTTGACTAGCTCTTCTAGTTGTAAGGAACTTTTGCTTAAGGAGGAATATTCAATCCTGTAAGTTTTCACCTGCTGCTTGAAGCAAGGGGGCAACTGCTTTTTTGTGAGGGAAAGACAGGCTCCCTACAGAAACGATTCTGCAGAACTGCAGTGGCCAACTTGGAGGGGGGGAACCATTTTGCCCTCCCCGCAGCCACATTGCTGGGTGCTCTATACTCCCGCACTTTTGTTGCCCAACTTTGGTGGCAAACCACTATAGCAAAATAGGTCGAAATTAACTTGTTCTATAGCTTGTCTTGACCCTTTTAGTTCTCCAGAATGTTTTTGAATTGCAACTTTTAAAAATATGCCACTGTTGAATTTAGCAGGGCTGCATGTAGACAACAGGAGGTATTGCCCACTCCTGCTAGAAAAACTACAACTGGCAGCCATTCCGCTAACTTACTGTCCTTCCTTGCTTCCTTCCTTCTGCTGGGCTTCACTTTATTTGCCAAAACTCTACCATGCTTGAAGGTCCCAGCTACCCAAGTACCAACACATTTGAGTCCAGAGAGACACCACTTTCCAGCATTCTGTGACTGGTTTTCAGAGCAGGAGATTTTATTCTCCAGCAGGCCAGCAGAAAGCTACCTCTTCACCTCTGAGAACAACGTTGGTGTGATGCCTGAACTGGAAGATTGAAAGGGCAAATGTGCATTTTGCACATCTAATATCGGCAAAGGTTTCAGAACCCAAAAATGTTTTAGCAATTAAATTACTGCACCCGAATAGCTGCTGATGCTACAAGCCTACCTTAAGTGTATAGTTATCAAATCAACAGGACTTACTGAGTTCCCTCGGAAGACTTCCTTTGCCATCAGCTTTTAAGCAGAACTTTACTTGAAAACTGTAAGAACAAAATTAAAGAATGATCAAGCCACGACACAATTTAGTAAGAAAGGCCAACCTACAACTACCACATACCACAAGCACAGGAGATGGGGCTACTACAGATTAACTGATATATGCAGCAAGTTTCTACTTTTATTTTTGAGCCGCTCTTAGTAAGACAAATGGGAGGCCAAGAGCTGTGCTTAATGTTGAAGAAGCATGGTAAGAGAGGAAGCTTAAGTGGCCCATGCCTCCTTCCCACAGGTCTACTCCAACTTTTACTTTCTTTCTAGGTCCATCCCAAGGGTGTGGGGACAACTAAACCATGCCTACCCAATTCGAGAGTTCAATTTCCCTCAATTCTATTTAGTACAGGGTGTGTGGGTTGGCTCTGTCCCATGCTCTGCTCCATCTACATTCTTGAGATAGCTTAGAATCTGGACTAGTTAAATTAGTCAGGGCTTAAATAGGACTTCACATCAGGCACAATGAATCTACTTCTTTTCCCATTGGAGCAGCCTTTAACAATTGTATAAAAGAAAAGAAGGATTTCTGCATATACTTGCTTCTTCAGAGGGAGAGAAATTCAGAAGAAATCTACTCCCAATGTATGTGTCTTGCCAAAGGGGGAAATAATTCATCATGCTCCTTTGGAATACCAGGAAAGATGGAGCTAGGAAGCACATGGAAGTTGTTCATGTTTCATTGCTACTTTGGAGAAACTGAAGAGTCTCTTGGTCCATTACTTCACCTTTCAATCCTAATTTTAAACATTTAACATAGCAGCTTCACCATCTTACCAAGAAACTTTCTGGCCATTTTCTTCGCAGGCTTTGTTCTCTGGATTTAGAATAGTTGGGGTAACTTCTAATCCAGCATTTACAGTAATGACTGGCCGTGCCCTTGTAAAAGAACCAAACAATAAGCAAAAACAGTCCTCTGTATGAAAGAGCCTCATTTTCCTCCATGTAATCTATCTCCAAGTACTCCAATCACTTAAAGCAGTAAGGTAGAGACTAATGTCATATTATAAAAGAGATGAAGAAAAGAATCAGGAGGGGGAGAATGGAGAAAACAAAAGAGAAGCAATCTGGGTCACAAGTCTAACCTTATACTCTTGGGAGTTAAGTCTCATGAACTGAATAGTGTTCATAGACTTAACAGTTTTCTAAGGCTATACTTACTGTGAATACTGAAGGCCATGCTGTGCTTTCCCTGAGCTTACTAAAAACGATTTGACAAAAGTTGGCAAGCTCAAGGAAGTGCATCTACTCTTCCTAGTGCCCAGAGCTTTGCTCCCAACGGAAAGCAAGGCCTTGTGAGCAAAGCCTGGCTCCTCAGTGCAGCAGCACCAGCTGCTTTTCTGCCTGCTGGCTTGAAGCCTGTATGGATGGATGCAGGTACAGAAACTAACAGAGCACCAAGGGAAACATTGCCTTCCTGACCTACAGTATCGTTGTGGCAGACTGAAACGAGGAGGAGACATTTGCTACCAGGACAGCACACCTCTTGCTAGCCCTGTCACTCACTCACTCACTCTTTCCATTTATATGTTGCCTTCTACCCAAAGGTCTCAAGGTGGCTTACAATAAAAATAGGCCATAGCTTATAACATTATTTATATTTAAATAGTTAATACTGCCGAGTTCTTCGACTCATCTCTGTGTCTCTCTCATTCATTTTTGAGCACTTACCTGTATAAGGCAACTTTGTCAACACCAAAAGCTCCCACAATCAAGTCTGGAAAAGGGATAAAATGTATATTTTAGATTTGATGATTTTCTAATATGTAAAGCTTACCATTCTGATCATCAACATTTCCCCAATCTGTATTAGGACAGGTCCCTTCACAGCCATAGCAAGGTGATAAAAATTTAATCCTGGGTAAGGGATGCTTTGAGAAAGGAATTTGGCAAGGCTGTATACTGTCGCCCTGCCTATTTAACATATATGCAGAGCACATCATGAGAAAGGTGGGACTAGATGAATCACCAGCTGGAATTAAGATTGCTGGGAGAAATATCAACAACCTCAGATACGCAGATGATACCACTCTCATGGCAGAAAGTGAAGAGGAATTAAAGAGCCTCTTGATGTGGGTGAAGGAGGACAGCGCAAAAGTTGGCTTGAAACTCAACATGAAGAAAACTAAGATCATGGCATCCAGTCCTCTCACTTCCTGGCAAATAGATGGGGAAGAAATGGAGGTAGTGACAGATTTTATTTTCCAGGGCTCCAAGATCACCGCAGATGGGGACTGCAGCCAAGAAATGCTTGCTCATGGGGAGGAAAACTATGGCAAATCTAGACAGCATACTAAAAAGCAAACCCTGCCAACAAAAGTGCGTATAGTCAAGGCTATGGTTTTCCCAGTTACAATGTATGGCTGTGAAAGTTGGACCATAAGGAAGGCTGAGCGCCGAAGAACTGAGGCCTTTGACTTGTGGTGCTGGAGGAGACTCCTGCGAGTCCCTTGGACAGCAAGATGATCAAACCGGTCAGTCCTAGAGGAGATCAACCCTGACTGCTCATTAGAAGGCCAGATACTGAAGATGAAACTCAAATACTTTGGCCACCTAATGAGAAGGAAGGACTCCCTGGAGAAGAGCCTAATGCTGGGAACAATAGATGGCAAAAGAAAAAGGGGAAGGCAGAGGATGAGGTGGCTAGATGGAGTCACTGGGGCAGTTGGTGTGAGCTTAGGTGGACTCCGGGGGATGGTGGAGGACAAGAAGGCCTGGAGGAATGTTGTCCATGGGGTCGCGATGGGTCGGACACGACTTCACGACTAACAACAACAACAACAACAAGAGATGCTTATCAAATCCACATTTGGTGCGTTCTGACTTGGATTTTGAGGATCACTTTTACTGGACTTGTTTAGCAGAGTGCAACTTAAAATGTTGCAATTCATTATTATTGTGAAGACATATTTCTGGAATGGTGCAATCCGGGTGAAAGGGAATCCTTGCACATTTCTGTTTTTCCCTAAACACACATTAAATCGAAATTAAAAACTGAAAGAAAATGCTCCCCAGAAAGTCTTCTTAAATCTTTGTTTATTTGTACTTATCTTTGTTCAATTGTGCAATGGCAAAGCTTTATGTTTTGGGTTGTTTTTAAGTTTAAATGTGTAGAACTGTATGTTTAAATGTTAAAAGTAAAATCAATTAACTTTGAAGAACTGGAAAGATTACTGTGTTTCAATTTTTCTTTTTCAATCTCCCAACCTTCCAATGAAGATGAAGTACAAACAGTGGGAGATTTTAATTCTAACATCTGGAACTCCTGTAGTTTGAATGGAATTGGGCTCCATTCAAACTGACTCCATTCAAATGGACTGGAACCCAAGTGGCACCAGAATGTCAGAAAAAAAATGTGGAATTGACAGAATCTGCCCTTCCCTTGTGAAAACCCCAAACCCATGAAATTTCTGCTTTCCTGTGTAGCTTTGAATCAGACTCCCTGTAAATTAAATGCTGTTTTAGTGTAAAAGATACATGAGCTTGCATTGCCATTACTGAAGCATCACCTGGGTAACCATTTTTGTCCACATCAGTATCTCCTTTTAGTGAGTATCCAAAACTGGGTGGCATTGCCTTTGAAGCCCACTGTCCTTCAAGGACTTGAGATGGCACTCCATTCAATCCAGTGGCTCGCCCGTTGTAGATGTAAACCAACCCTTTCTTGTCTTCCCCACCATAAGGAGCAGCAACTGCAATGTCTGTAAGCCAGAACAAGAAACTTTGGAGTCTCCAATCATAAACAAAGAAGTTTTATGGAAGCAAAGAGCACAAAGCATGGCACTTGTTATACTGACAAACTGCATACCCCCAAGCAATTCTTTAGGAAACATTTCATTCAACGGGATGCTCTGCATCTAGTTCAGATCAATGGATTTTCTCCACTGACTGTGTGGGGCTCTGTTTGTAACCGTGCTGTTGAAAGGAGCAAAAAAGTTCAAGGCCACTTAATACCATCTTTTTAAAAGTAGAGCACATATTGTGGAAATACAATCTGCTTCAAAGAGAATTGTATTTGAAATCTAAAGAGCTTCAGCAATAGCTCTGTCAATTAAAAGTTAAGAGGACTTTAAATCAAAAAGAAGGGTCTTTATAGATACATCAAGCCCATTACTCATTCTGTATTTGTAATCAATGATACCTTGCTATATACAATGTGTTTTATCAAAATGTTGGTAAGACTACCAGCATTACAAAAGAAACTTTAATTAAGAAATTCATTCATTCATTCATTCCACCAAGAATTGGTGCTCAAAGGGGCATAACAGTTGCTGTGCTGGATTAGACCAGGTCCTTCTGTTTACAAAAGCATCCAGTCTGAACAGAGCCCTAAGTTCCAGTCAAAAAATAACCAAGGACAGATTTTCCCTATCAAAACATGCCTAGATTTGCACTCTTAAAAAGCTTAAATTCCCAGTGACAATGATAAGTAATTAGATCAATGTAAGAATAATGACTTAAGGCTTTACCATTGAAGCCATCCTGGTCAAGATCCCCCAGAGGTGCAATGGCACTGCTGAATCTTGCAAAGACTTCAAAGCCAGTCAGCTTCATGACCTGACTCTGAAAGCCTCCAGACGTTTGTTGAAAATACACAGATACCTGGCCCACTTCTAGAAGTTTGCCATCAGAACCACGATCCATAAAAAGTGGGGCTCCTATAAACAAATCCACGTAACTGAAAGGAGAAAGAGAGAGAGAGTACGATACTCCTGCTTTCAGAACCAGTGTCTTATACCACTGAGAGCCAAAATCCAGTCACATTTATCTGTGTAAGTTCCATAGGGATCTATGGAGGTGCTAAGTATACACTTGGCTTTCCTACTGAAGATTGTGTGACTTATAAATGCCTAACTTTGCCTGAGTCATACATACTATTTAGAAAACTTTTGTTTTATGCCTGAAGACAGACTTCATCAACTAGAACATTAAAAGGACATGTCTCAGAGCTATGCATGTTAATAATATCCATTCAACAGTGAACATCCACTTATTTATTGATTATAGAGGCTTGGATGACAAATACTCTATATGTGTTTGTAAAGGAAGCTTGAATCTCCTTGTGTCTCATGGAGTACCACCGGGGGGGTCTTCAAGGATAGCTTTGTGGGCAGCTGGGAGAGAGCAGGAAAGTCCCAGCATGCACTGCTGTGGTCCTCAGGGCTCCCAGCAATAGACAGGATCCAGTGGCAAGTCTACAGAATTCACTAAATGGGAGATTTGGCACTTTCAGGGTCAACCCAACACAAGCTGAAATGTTTTTTCAGGAATGGTCAAAGCTTGCATAAGGGAGCACTGCTGACCTGCCCCATTCTAGACATGAGTGTTTCCACTCATTGCAGGGCTTGCCCCCCGAAGCACTAAATCTCCACTGCATGAGCAGTAGGTGGCTGCTTGTGGAAGGGGAGTGGTTGGCAGTGGGGACCTAGGTCAGGGATGGGCGCTTTTGGATACTGCCTAATGGTCCCTAGTTGCTTTCTGTGCCCACAGGCCACTCAAGATATCACCAAGTCATGAACACAAGTAAGGCCCCAATCCAAAACTGAACTTGTGGCGATAGTACATCCCACTGAAAGTGGGATTTACCTCTGAGTAAACGTAATTAGGATTCCACTGCGAATGCCTCACGCCATCTGATAAAATCAACTACAGTCTCCAATAACTTGAGCTATTTTTCAGTCACTCAAGTGCACCTGCTCATTGTGCACTATCTGGGACAGAGTGGGAAGGGCAAAAGGAAAACTAAAAGCATGCCTTGCTGGATGGGAGAAACGGGTGATGTGAGGGGATCTGTGCTTGGAAGACCCTACAACAACTCTTACCAACCTGATGTCCTCCATATATGGCACACTACAACCCCCATCACTCCTAGTCAGAATGGCCTCTCCATCAGCCTAGGATGATGAAGGTTGTTGTGCATGGCACTGATGGGGGTGTGCCAGGTTGGACAAAGCTGTTCTAGCATTAATAGCTAAGCAAACAGAGGGCTAAATCCAATGGGTTTATCCAGTGTTAATCTACTTTAAGAGCCATCTATTTCCATGGGTCTGTTCTAAGTAAGACTAACACTGGATACAATGCAAAGCTTTATTGTGAAGGACTTCACGAGACAAGTACAAGTAAAGCCTGCAAATGTTTGGAGATTTATGTGACGCAATTCAGGTATGATGCTCTGCTGAGTCCCTGAGAGAACAAGCTAGCAAAAAATAAAAAAGACATGCAGCTTATTGGTTCTCAGTTGGATTTTAAGAGATTCTATTTCCATCCTCGGGAAAAAAATGTTAAAAAATAGCTAACTCTTTCCAGAGTGCATGGGAAAAAAAGCGTAACTTACTGATCTCCATTGATATCTGTGGCAGCTACAGAATATCCAAAATATGCAGCCATCTGGGAAGCAAGATTAAATAGAAAAGGTGGCATTAAATAAAGATATGGTGTGAGTGATCCTATGGGACCTCACTGCTATGACCTCACAAGAGGAACTTTGGAATCTGGTCCCTCCCTTGCCAATACCATAGAAAGAACCACGCCAACACAGACTTGGCAGGCCTGCAAGGGAGTGCTGTGGTGCCAGGGGAAAGGCGAGAGGAAAGCATGGCACATGAGAAGACTTATGCTCCACTACACAGGCTCAAGGACCATCTAGCGGGGACAAAGCAAAGGAGACCAGAGAGGTGCCTCTGTCCATCCTCCTGTTTTGCCAGCAACAGCCTGATAGGGCCCTGGATACTCAGAAGCCTCTTGGTGTCACTGCAGCGGGAGGCATGTTTGGTGGCAATGGAAACTTCCTGCTGAGGGAGGCGAGGCAAGGCTGGCACGCTTCCTATTGTCCTTCCACCAGGAGGCAAAGACTTATTTATTGAGCTTTTCGGCATCTAAGCTGAAGTTGTTTTATAATAATCAAAACTTCTGTTTCATTGTTTGCAATCCATTTCTTCTCTTGTGTTTTTAAGGTGTTTGTTTTTATGCCACATTTTAATTAAGGTTTTCTTTAAAAATGCAGTCACTATTATTAGAGTGTCAGTCTGGGGCAGAAAGATGGGCTATAAAACAAAGGAATGAATTTGAGAAGACCAGATGGAACGGCTGCTACGAGTGGCCTTTCTGTGAGGAGAAAACCCAGAGGGAGGACTGAGATGATGAGATCGGCTTCCTTCAGCTCAGCTAGGACCTCTGACCATCTGACACCTGACCTCCTAGGAAAGTCTCATGCATTGACCACGATCCCGGGATTTGCTTCCCCGCCTCTAGCTCAGATGGCTCATGGCCAGGCTTTCCTAGTCTGCTAAAAATCTGATATATGTATACGTAGACAAAACATTGTCCTCTTATGCAGAGAAAACCATACCTGTTCTCCTGTGAAGTTATACATGGATGCCATGGTTTTTCCATTATAAATGGACACCTGCACCAGAGATATAAGTTAAGGTCTGTGTGGTGGTATATTTCAGTATATTTCAATATCTACTAATACTGAATGTTAAGTATTAAGTTCCCTACCAGGCCTAATGTTTTGGCTGCTCTTGGGACACCGGACACAAAATCTGAAAAACAAAGAAAAATGGTAGCCTTCAGTGATTTGTACAGACAGAAACCAACATTCTTCAGAAATCTGGACTTTCAGGAGCAGATGTAGAAGGGGGCATAGGAGAGGACACGGACAGAGGAACAGAAGAAGGGTGTGAGCAGATCTGGGAGGTAAAGGGAGCTACAGGAGGGGAGAATCCATTTCACCACTTCCCTCTTCTTCTGGTGGACAGTCTCAAACTCCTAATGGGGGCACGAGGTACGATTACCATTTCTCGGGGCCAGATTCCATATTACTCTGATTGTGCAACAGTGGAATCACATGGAGCAGATGGATCCCATCAAAAATTCCCAATCTGTATCTGTCACTTTCCCCTAGGGCTATTGGTGTTGACACAGGGAAGCAGCAATCCTGGCACCCCAGTATCATCAAATCAATGTGGCTTTAGTATATTTTCAGGTCTCACCAACAGGTAAGGCAGCAGCATCACAAATTTATTCAGCCATGGCTCCAAATCCTAAATCCATAATTCTACATACAGGGAACAGGAAGCACATCCCAACCTTAGTGGGACCTTCATCTGAAGAAATGTTTATTTGGGGTGAGTTAACTATGACGACTCCACTACCCAGGCTTCTAATCCACTCCAGTAATTCTGGATATACAGGCTTCACTCTCCATCTCTTATAAAAGAGTTAGGAGAAATTTGATCTGATGGTTACACTTTCGTAACACCAATGGTGAGTATGGAAAGGTAGCTAACATGAGTTGAGGTGCAAGAATCCACATGAAGGCTGCAATTCTGCACCCGTTTAGACACACAACACCACTAAATCCGTGGTCACTGCAATCTAAACAACTGGACTACAGGAATCCAATCTAATTAACAGTTAGTAATTCAGCCTAGTATTTCTGCAAATCTGCTTCCTTCCAATCCAAAGCCATCACTCTTGAATTAACAAGCCATACCTTCTGTGCCATCATTATTGAAATCCCCCACAGTTACCGAATAACCTGTCAAACATGGAAAGGTCCATCAGGATTTGTCAGTGCATACAAACCATGAAATCTTAAATAAATATCAAGAGGCATTTCTCAGCATTGGTTCAGGTGCGTTCATCGGGCTGCTTGTATTTAATCAATTCCTACTATCTTACTTCTGCTATGGGGGAGAGGGAAGGAGGAAGAGGTGCTGACACAATTTGTTGCCACCAGTAGAGGGATGCCATCTCACCCTGCATCCCTCTGCTGGAAGTGAAATACTTGGCTGCCAGGTCAAACTTTTCTATCCAACACATTCTAGAAAGCAAGATAAGGAAGTTCAACCATAAAAATGGTTGGTCAGTTAGGAAGTGGCCTTATAAGGAATCAGACCATTGGACCACCTATCCTAGTTATCCACAGACCTTGGCTGATGGAGTATCAACATGATTTGAGTAGGAGTTTCCCAACCCTACCTGGAGATGCCAAGGAATTAATCTCAGGCCTTCAGCATGCAAAACAGGTGCTCTTCCATGGGACAATGTTCCCTCCCCCAAACATCTGGAACATGGCAGAAATGTGAGTCCTATTCTTGTACAGGGAACACACGAATCTTCTCCGTATTGCTCCAATTTTAGTACATGTGCTGCCAAAGCGAGCACCATTGATGCTGTACATGTCCCAATGCCTACCCCAATAATCAAAAATGCCTGTGTGTCTACAGTTAAGAAAAAATGAGAACTATCAAGAACACTTAGGGACATGCAAGAGGATTAACTTTTAGGGATCCCATTATATGCTGGTGTGGTGAGTTTGGCCACTACAGTTAGGTAGCAGGACCGTTCAGTTGCTTTCAGAAACAGTGCACTGAAAGGCATTAACTGATGTCACCAGAGGTGGGATGAAGAACTCTAAATTTAATCTTACCATGAACACAAATTGCTACTGTTTTACTTTCAAAGCAACCCACCCAAGTAGCTGTCATCGAAAGCAGCACTGGCCGACCGCGTTGCTAACTGGTTGTCATACTTGGTAGTATAGATTTTGGGGTTGTACTTCGACACGATCTCAGCCACTTGATCAGAAATTAGTTGGCCTGAAGAGAAGAAGAGAAGAGGACATACAAACATAGGCAAGAGTTCTGAGTGGATATTTTTAGACTGTTTGAGAAAGACAAACTGAGACACGACACGGGCAGTGCCATCTGATAACCATTCAATATGGCTTCTTTTATTATTTTCCTATAATTATTTTAAAGCCCCTGATTCAAAGAGTTTGAACTAAAGTAAAGGCAGTTTCTGGAGTGTAAAGAAATACAGGGATGTTTCAGTTTCTGAAGAGTAAGAATCTGGACGGGTAGCCATGCTAGTCTGTTGCAGAAAAACAACAAAGTCTTGAGGCACCGTAAAGACTGACATATTATTATGGTGTAAGCTTTCACAGGCTAGAATCCATTTCATCAGCTGTGCTGAGGCTCCATGATATGAGCAAATGTGCTGCTTTAAATGTTTGAGCAGGTAATCAGCCAGGATCAATAGTGAACCTTTCCCGACTCATCACTTCATCCTCCCTACAGGATTCCGAATGCATGGCTGGTACCCAACAAGGCCCTATGTTCCTAACAGGGAACGCCATTCCTACTACTTTGAATCAAAAATCGGGACGGGTCAGTGGAACCCCCTTCTTCACGTTCCATTGACTTGATCCGTTCCAGAAATGAGTGTTTCTGCTCGTCTGAGAGTTGTGTTAGCAACTGCACCTCCCCGTGCATTAGCAATGGGTCCTGGAGGTGTGCAGGCAGCATAGGATGCTTCCCCATATTTGCAAAGACAAAGTTTTATGAGCGTGAAGAACCACATGCAGGAGAAAGGGCTGATAGGTGCAACTGGAGTGAAGAAATGGCAGACGGGAAAGGCATTAAGTGGCACTTTGACACTTGTCTACTCTGAAGTTTTGCATCATCACGAAAAGGTTATTGTTTTTGCTTAACTTGCTGTTAGGCCCCAAAAGGACATCAGAACATGAATCACACTGTTATTTCGCTAACCACATGCCTTTTCTCACCTTGCCAATAAAAACTTCCAGGTCCTCCAAGCAGTACTCTATCCTCCTGGAAACAGAGAGAAAGAAGTAAGTTCTTTGTTGTAAGAACTATGTATATCCCAGGAGAAGTCTTTCTGCTTACTGAAAGCATCAGAGTCTAGGAGGTACTCCAAGTTCCAACTCTGTATATCATACTGTTTCTGAGCTCAGGGCAAATATGACCCCAATTTTATGGAACTTCCTGTGCAGAGAATTTTTCTGAATGGTATTCAGGAAAGTCAGGAGCTACGGGTCTTCACTCCATTTATATGTTGTTGTTTGCTTTGATTTGCAAATTGTTTGTAATACTACATTTTGTATGTAATATTTGACATGCATGCAAAACTGCTTTCAGTTTATAGTTAAAATGCACAGCTCTTGCAAGACTGACCCGAGTACTAGGAAGTCTATGATTCATACCTTATCTCTGATAAGAACCGAGTAGGCTGCCTTACACAAGCTATAATCTTTCCAGCTCAGCCCTTTATCTACAGTGTAGGGGCTGCAAGGCTCAGTCACCTTACACAGAGGCTGCAAGAATGGCTAGCAGTGCAAATCCCATACATATCTAGCCAGAGGTAAGCCCCACAAAATTGCATGGGACTTACTCCCAGGTGAGTACAGGATTGCAGCTAAGGCAAAGACCTTAATAGGCTGTAACACCAGACCACAGTGTAAGGTTATAAGAATGGACCTGCTCAGGTTTCAGGTACAGGAGGTTCCCAGTGCTCCTCCGGCTCATACAGGAGGAAAAGACTGGAACCATTTCCCCGTGGAATTAGACTAACCATGGTCTGCTGTTATACCCAACAAATTGTCTTTAGGAGTTGGAAGAGAATGGGTCACCCAGCAAAGGGCTGGGAGGAGATTCAGGGCTTAAGCAGTTGCAGGTGTGTGTGCTTCCTCACTCTATACTGCTGGGACTTCTCCCTTCAGTGCAGACCTTCCTTCCTGAGTAGAGCATAAGAAAAAGAGTCTTCTGGAAGCCAACAATGACTCCATTACTGGTACCTGGTCTGTGCTCTGAATAGCTGAAAGACTGGATAGAAAAACTGGGTAGCTCAGGAAGGAAGGGTTCTTTGGAGACCCAGCAAGGCTCCCTGTGGGAGTAGGGCTTGTTGGAGAATCCCAGTCCTCCTCCTCCTCTAAAAGCTCAGAGTTGGCCAGCAGCCTGATGTTAGTTTAACCCAAATTTTCACAAATCTGGAACACTGTGGAGTCCAGCAGACATTTTTATCTTTATCAACCCCAGCCAGCATCACCACTGGTAAGGGATGTTGGACCTGCAATCTGGAGGATACCAGATTACAAAGTCTGGTTTTACATGTGGTTTAATTGTGCTTTCTGATCACAGTTTGTTTCCATAAACTATAGTTTAAAATAACTGCAGTTCTCATTTTGGACATTCTGGGTATATTTGGAGAACAGTATAAATGATTGTTTATTACAACAGGAACTAGTCTCTAGGGCTCATGCCCTCCTTTGCTGTAGCTACAAGGAAATGCAAACATTCTGCCTCCGTTTGTGATTAACTGCAGTTTAGTCATGTGTCTGAGCCCTGAACTGTGGTTAATCTTAACTGTACTTTGTTGAAACAAACCAGCTTCATAACCCACAATTTAAACAAATGATAGCCAAGGTTAATCACAGTTTCCTGGATTTGGAAAACACAGAAAGTTGTGGTTATTTGAAAATGGAAGCAAAAGCTTCCAGACTCCTCAATGCTGCACTGAAGAAGGAGAGGAAAGGGGGAAATCGTAAGCCCAGACATTAAGCAGGATGATTCCCCTAATTGTAAACAGGGGTTTGCTGGTTGATTCAGACAAAGCCATTTTATTTAAAGCACTTCAGTCTTTCTAATGTACTGTATAAGCATGCATAATTATTGCTAACCATTCCTTTAACAAGAGAAATTTTGTAATTTCTGTAACAAAGAGAAAATCCTTTACCCATTTGTACACTGAACTCATGGAGTTGGGGAAGCAGGGCCAAGAAATGCATCCTGGTGCACTGTTTGTGGGTCTCTGTGTATATAGTGACATTAATTGATCCATCGCCTTGCTGGATCAAGTCACAAAGCCATCAGCTCCAGCACAGTGACCCTGACAGTCACCTATTCTAATAATCCCGAGAAGGGCTCAGGTAAGGGGCAATGGCAATAGCTGCAACCAGTATCTGGTAATCACTTTTGCATACATACAATGCATCCTTAGCTCACACCCTTAAGAACATGCACCTCTTGTGGCTGTCAAACAACTACAAACAATAGACTTCTTTTTGGTGCCTGAATTTTAAATTTACATTAAGCAGGCTTACTAAAAGACAAAAGCACATTGAAATGGTTAAAGCAGAGTTTTTAACAATTCTGTAGGAGGATTGACACTGTAGAAGAGATGAGGTCTCCTTTTTATTAATTTCTTTCCTGGCTCAGTTGGCTCATGCCTTTGAAATTCTGAACAGAATAAATTAATTCAGCCTGGCAGAGACTTCCAGAACTACATTTAAGGCAACAAGAATGATTAGAACTCGACAGGCATGCCTGAACGGATTTTGCTTTCTATAGACGCTTCCTTCTTTTGCTGTCGAGTGCTGAAAAAAGGAGAGACACAAGAACCGCTCCTGTACCTGGGTAAAGTCGATGCTGAATCCACCTTGACAAAAGCCCTGTCCTTCAGCATCATTGTCAGCTGTGGGAACAAGACAAATGGGAAAGAGTTGAATGTAAGGATGTACATCGCAAATTCCAGAGGAACAGTACAGAACCCTTTGGTGGGAGCAATTGCAGCTCTGGGAGAAGCGGCCATCAGGAACGCACAAGGTCCCATCTCTGAAGGCTTTTAAGAGGGCCCTGAAGACCAGCTCCTTTCCTCTGGCCTTTCTGATTGCATTTTTCTGAGTGGGTTATAGCTGCAATTGAGTTGGCTGTTTCATAGAACTTTTGCTGCTTTTATTACCGGAATGACTATTTTCTGTTTCTTCTATTGTTGTATACTGCACTGGAGGAGCTCTGCCTCCGAAAGGTAGCCTATAAAATGTCTGAATGCATTAATTCAAGCTTAAGGTACGTGGTGCTGCTGAACGGGAAGGCTAGAAAGGGCTTCCCCTTCTGCCTTAGGCTCCCTTACAAGCAATTGGGGGGAGGGGTTTCATAAAGGAAGTCCTCTTTCAGACCTTGTCAGCATACCCAGATTACTGATCTGGGAATATTGCAGCAAGCTCTGAACATTCCCACTTTCAGAAGAGAAGTTTCATACAAGGGATGAGAGGAGAGAACTGGCAAGATAGAAGGGGTGGCGGGGGGATGCCAACTTTAGTCCTTTCACCGCAATACCAGAAGTCACTTTACTTCACGAAAATGCCTTTGAGGAACACAGCTGCCACATTCTTCAGAAATCTTTCACAAGCAGCACTACCCTGGGTTATAGCCCATGTTGAACCTAATTTACAGGCATGAAGGTCCTGCCCCTGGCCGCTTTTTCTGCCTTTTGGCAAAACACTTGGCTGTTTCTGCTCTACTTTCCCAGTGTCCCTGCAAGGGAGCAGAGGTCTGCAATTTGCTCCAGGCTTCTCCATGAAGTGCCCGTGTTCTACTCACAAGGATCTTTTAAAAACAGTAATTAAAAATATTGATATGGAAGTGAATGCAGTTGCAGCTACCTGTAATCTGAAGAGGCACAGCACAGAAATGGATTTATTACCCTCTTTACATACAACATGTAGCAAGGATATAATCCTCAGCTCAGGGGCCAAATTCAGTCCTTCTGAAGTCCCAGTCTAGTCTTCTGGGGTTCCCCACGTAGCACTAACCCTCTTCTCCAACCAACCACTGAACATGTGATATTTCCCCAGCTTTTGCACAGCTTTTCTCAATTCTAAAAGAATAAAATGTCTCCCCTGTGACTTGTCACTGGCATTAAGACCTGTAAGCTCAAACATGCTGGTATTTTTGGCTCCTACCCCTTTTGTCTTCACCCTCACCTACTACTGGAACGTGGACTCCCAAGAGCATTTTTTGTGCGGAAATATGCCCTTGAAGTGCAGGGTTCAACACCTCAAGGACTTGGCCTAACTTCATGTCAGTTCTACAAGGTTATGGGCCTTGAAACAGTGATGGCAGCCTTTCATAATCTTTGACCTGCCAAGAAGAGCATGGCCTGCAAGCCACGTGTTCTGGCCTGCTAGGTGCTTGACAAGCCTCCTGCTTTAGAAGTCTTCATCTGGAAGCATAAACATGTTTATGAGGTTCCCTCTCAGCCAGTGACCTTCACACAGCTTTCAGTGTTTTATGTTCTACAGGTCTGACCAAAATGGATGTTCTGCTGGTGAGAACAGAAGATTTTGTTTTATTTTTTTAATTGCAGCCAACTCTAAGAAAGTGACACCACTGATTTAAAAATATTGCCTGTTTTAAAATAAGCCAGTGGAAAATCTTTAGAATGGCAAGTATATGTTCTTTTTCTTTTCTATTTCTATATTTACAGATCAGCGTTCGACACACAGCATTAAGATATCGTTTGTCTTTAAAAGAGGAAAAGGAACAGGGATTCCAGAGCTGATCCCTCGCATGCCAAGAGTTGAGCTCAAGGAGGCTTTTTATGATGTGGTTAATCCTCTGAATACAGAGCTTTACAAGAGAAATGCCAACAGTCTCTTATCGTTATCGCTCACTACAATGAAATGTTCATTTCACTTAGTGCATTTTTATGTCCCTTTGATCCTGGGGAATGATTTTGGAATGCGCTCCCACTCTCTTGCGTTTGCTGGATAAACAAAGAGTGGAGGAACAGGACAATTGTTCAAAAGGTCCAAAATGGACCTCTGACTTCTTTTGAGCCCATTAGAGATGGGAAAATGGGTCTGTTCCCATTCACAAATAATTTGGATTTACTGGATTAGTTTTACAAAATCGGCCACAGTTCACCTTGTGGTTCCAGCTCAGTTGGAATAAGGGCCCTGCATTACCTGGAAAAGTCACAGGGGTTTTGGCCGAACAAGCAGGATACAGAGCAAACAAGTTGCTGCTTCTTTCCCAACTCTGGGAGCCAAGCAGCACGACCAGCTGCTGTTCGCTTTAGCCATCCCTGAAGCACAGGGCAGCATAAGCTCCTGTGTAGCATGTGTTTCAAGGAAGATGTTTGTAGCCTCCTACTTTTCTATGACCTGCTAGCTTTGAAACTTGCAAGAAGAAATTTGTTTTTTGGGAGGGAACATCTCAGCCAGGCTTCCCCAACCTGGTACCCTCCCGAGGTTTTGGATATCAACTTCTATCCGCTCCAGTCCAAAACAGCTGGAAAGTGCCACTTTGGGGTTGGCTGGTCTCAACACCCAGCTCCCTCTCTATGAAAGCGGTCGTGGGCAAGATGCAGCTCCCACCTCCCAGGGCAGCCTGCAGCCAACCATCTTTTCTTCTTAAGGAATACAAAGAATGGCACTTTCACTAGCAACCAAATACCAAGAGTTAAATTTGGCTGGGAAATAGGCTACAGTCGTGCCTTGGGGTGTACTGCAACACTCTGGAATGGTCTGTCACAGAATTTTAGTGGCCGGCCTGCTTTTTTTTTGCCTTTTAAAAAACTTTTCCGGGGTCCATCCCACAGAGCACAACATGCTCCGTGGACTTCCACCTGGGTGGGAAAGGTGAAAATGAGTCCTGAACCTCCCACAGTTGCCCACTCTTGCATTAAAGCTAAACAGTGGCTTGGGGGAGTAACTTTCCTTGGGTCCCTGGTATGAGATTAAAAGGTTAATTCCCTCTCTATGCCATGTTTCTGTATGGGCCCCTGCGGGTATTTCTTTGCACACACCCTAATGTTTAAAAAAAGGAAAAAACCTAGCTCCATCATTACCATTGAGAATGCTTAAAAAGCTACCTTTAAGGCATCAATGGGCAGCCAGCAACACTGGGGCTGAATACCAACTCCCCCCACCCCCGAGACCTATGCACACAAGAACGTGCCCTTTCTTGGCAAAGAGAACAGTGGCCCCGCTTTTTCTGAGTTTCCACTGATCGCTTTTCATGAGGTCCACCTGGAGTCCAGGTCCCACCATCGCATGACTCGCACCTCACTGCACGCGGACACAGGTGAAGCAGCACCGTTGTAAGGACCTCCACGTCCAAAGGAGGTATCTCTCTGGAGTTGTCAACACTCCTTTATTCCTCAGCTTCCGGTGATGGAAAAAGACCCCACTTCTCCAGGAGGACTCTCCCTTCACTGCTGTGTCCCATTTGTACCTCACTCTTACTGCTCAGTGGCCTTCACTTTCCTTCTCCTGATTTTTACTCCTCGTAGAATGTCCCCTGGTTCCTGCTGCTTTGTTCCTCACCTGCTCCAGGTCCTCTTTGCCTACTCCACCCCATCCTTCCATTCCCACCAACCTTTCTACCTTCTCTTGGACTCCTTCTGTCTTATGGACCACCAGGGCTGGTCCTCCACACCCAGCTGGGCTGGCCAGCATGCTGCTGGCACCCCAAGCACAGTCCTCCCACTGCGAAATGCAGCAAGAACGTCCTCGCATTGCCTAAAACAGCTTCTGCAATTTTGAAAGACATGCTCAATGCCACCATGCCCATTTAATGTCACCTGTGATTTGGCCCTGGGTCTTCCTAATGAACTGAAATACTCCCATCACAGTAACCCCACATGAAAAAATAAAATAATTTAAGATATCCCTGTTATCACCACTGTCTTCAGTTCTCTAGCAAATCTGGATTTTTCTATCCGCTGTGAAACCTAGAATCAGAAGTAGTGATTGAGAGATGATTCTATCTTCTCTCAATGTTGGGGTGGAGGGGCTGGGAGGGGAAGAACAAACACAAGCAGGGATGAGGGAGGAAAGCAGGATAAAAGACGCATCCCTACCAGTTACGTATAACATGGGCCGGCACACAGAAAACAGACTCAGAACTGTAATTACAGCAGCGAGACATTCTCTACATACTTGACCTGCAGGGAGCGTATTCAACTGTTTTAGACCCGACATGAAGATAACATGTTCCCACAGGTTCCCTCTCAGCTTTCTGTAGAGTTCTCCAGTGATACAACGGGGCACATGCCTGGAAATGAGGCAAAATGTCAGCATTTAGAAAGCTCTTTAGAAAGGCCAGCACTTCAGCCCTGAGGGAAAAACATCAACAAGAAAGAGGAGACACAATGCCCGTATTTTACCAGCAGGTATCAGACAACTCTGAAAAAAGAAAAAAGACGTTTTGCTTTGTTTGCATCTTCTGCAAAGCTTAGCTTGGTGAAAGATTTCATAAATCATGTACTTTGGCCAGCTTTTGGTGGGGCTAGATTTTAGTAATTGGGCTAGGTTTATTTGCTTGGGTGTTTTTTTTAAATAATACCCTAGTTCAATTCCTAGTGATTCTCACTGAGCCATTTTCTGTCCCTCCCCTCCATCTCCATGGCTGTGTCGGCATCTGCCACACCCGGCACTCAGCTGAACATCTAGGCATTTCAGCTCTCAAGTGCTGCAAGCAAATTTAGGAAAGAGCGCCTGTGTGGGCAGTGTGGCTGGAGGGCCTCTGTGCTTCTAGAGGGTGACTTTTATGTCCTCAGTCAACAGTACTGATGTCAGCAACCCAGAATAAGAAACAATGGGTTCAGCCTGTGATGGCAGACACGCATTTCTGTACAGACGACACTCTGTATGCCTGGCCTGCAAAATGTTTTATAGAAAGAGCAAGCCAAGGATGATGGACCAGGGCCTCAACATGGGTCACCATCAAAGACTATTCACTTCTACAACCTTCATATTTATTATGTATTTATTTAAAATTTTGTATGCTGTCCTTTATATAAATATCTCAGGATGGCTTACAGCAATTTAAAAGAACAATTTAAAAGCATCTAATAACATCCAGTAACAATTAAAACAATAGTACTGTGTAGAACAATAAATAGACATCAAATAAATCAGATTAAATCAAAACAAAACAAAACAAAACAAAAGCAACTGCAAAAACCATTAAAACTATTAATTTTTAAAATACCGCTTAAATAAAAAGGTTTTATATGGGCAAATCAGAGGAATCATGGATCAGAGGGCTTGATTCGAGCTAGAAGTCTCCAATTGTTGATTCATCCTTTCTACCCCCCAGATCATAGAAGCACTCGATGTATCTTCTAGGCCTCTCATACAACTTTGCTGTTGTTGCAGAATTGAAAAGGAACTGTCAATAGTTCCTCTTGGCCATTCACGGTGATATGGATCTAGTTGCAAAGCTAGGAAAGGTACATCTACCATGCTGACAGGCGATTTACTCCATTGTGTTTAGGAGAGCACATTTCAACAGCACTTAAATACAAGATGTGGGACCTGCCACAGAATGTTATCATGTGGAATGCTGCTGTTTGGGATTCCAGGAGGCCTCCAGGTTGTGGAAGGCTGGTACAGATGGTGAAGGTGGTGGTGTGTTAAAAATATTAAACATGAAGGCTTACCAAAATTTTATCATCTTTAGATCTCACTGATGCGCCAAACCACTGGTGTGATTTGAATTCCAAAGGATCATTTACATTAAAATCTCTGTTGCCTAGAAGACAAACATTTCAGTCAGGACACTGCAAAATCACTTTGCAACATTGCAGATTATGAACACTTCAATTAGCACTACCATATCTGAAGGACATCGGTCCCACAGAAAAAGGATCTAGGGCTGATAAACACATGCGCGCATCAGCAGCTTTTTCCTCTCTTGATCACTTGCACGCTGAATGCATCTGCTGGAAGATACTGTGGTTAAGGTGATGTGAGATGGTGTGGAAGTACTTTCTGTGATGTCTGATCTCTGATGGCTCATTCATATGGCAAAGGACACTAAGCCTGCATGCTGGGAAAGACTTGAACCAAATACCGTCTATTTTATGAAAGAAGTTTCCCTTCTTGATGGATCAGCACAGCCAAAGTTGTGTCATGCATGCTGAATGGCCTGTTGAAAACGGCCAAAGGTCATGTCCCATTGATAGATTTACTCTCTGACTAAAATTAGACCCTCAGCAAGGTCTCTGAGACGAGGAAACAACGCTAGTTCCAAGGTACTCATAACTGCATAATCGACCCTCACAAGATACTCGCTATGCCAGGAACACGAGAACCCTTCCCCATCTCAAGCAACAGAAGGGGAGAGGTGGCAAATTGTGTATCCCTTCCTGCGACAACGAAGGCCCTCTGCTGTCTCAGTGGACCTGTCCTCCCACAATAGCAAATGCAAGGCCCCTAAGAGCAGCCACCTGTGCTGTGCTGGAGTCTGCCTGCTTTGGTAGCCATCAGGGCCGGTTCCTCTACAGTGCCTCATCCTGAGGACAGGCGTCATCTCAGAGCAAGGGATGGCAAGGGGAACAGGGCAACAGTGCCGGAGGAGTGGCAGCACACATCCTCCCATCTCAGGAGGGGGAGCCTCTTGCACTGTGGCCCAAATTGGAAGGCAGCCCATCAAAGCGTTCTTCTAAATGTGGTCCATTGCTGTCGCTGCAGGAGGAGAAACAGCGCAAGGGAAAGTTATCCTCACTCCACAGTGAAAGCCTAAGGCCTGCTGGAACTGGTGTTCATTTGCACAACCCTTTCGGGACACCACAAGATCTGAGAAATGCTTGGAACCTTGGCCAAGGAGGAAGACATCTGGCTGACTTACTGGCTACTCTGGCTTGAATCTTTGTAAACTTATTCAGAAGTTGAGCTTCTGGTGAAATGAGCCTGCTTTGTTTAACAGCATCACTGCATTAGTCACGACTAATTGCAGCTCTACTTCATTCCTGACTAAGAAGGAACATGCATGCATGAGCTGGCCTGTATGTATTTTCTTAAAATATTGATACCCTTTTTGGCATCTCTTCTCTGGGCAGGTCACAACATCTGCTAAAATAACATACAACCTAAAGAACCTTTTAAAGATTTTAAAAGAAATGAAAACCAGAAGCCAGCTATTAAAAGGGAAAAGTAGGGGACTAAAAAGGGATTGGGGAAGTAAAACCCATTGTGGTTTTGGTAGCACAGAAATATCACAAATGGGGTGGAAACAATTTGCCCTTCCAAAGCAGAGAGTTATCTGTTTTTTGTTGGAAAGTCTGCAAGAAAAAATTATTTTATTTTATTATTTCTTAAATTTCTATAAATGTCACCTGTTAGCATCTTGCTGTCTGGGCAGCCATTACAATAGAAGTGTATTTCTTTAATAATAGCATTAAAGAAATAATACAGTTACAAGATTATAATAAATAAACAAGATAAAACACAATATATATAATCAGGCAAAAATATTTATTTATTTTATTTATTTATTATTTGCATTTATATACCACCCTAGTAGCCCAGAGGGCTCTCTGGGTGGTTTACAAACATTAAAACCTACCAATCCTAAATAAATAAATAAATAAATAAATAGGCAGTACAAAATAATGTAGTTAAAATGAATTACATAAATAAATATAGCATTAAAATTAACTAACTTTAAAATATTGGTTAAATAAAAAGGTCTTGACCTGGCAATACAATTAAGAAATTAAAACCAGTGCCATCAATAGAGATGCTCTAAGTAGCATCATTAGGTGCATCAAAAAAAAAAAAAGTTTTTGTCAGGCCCCTAACACTCAGTAAGATAGTAGCCCGACAAATCTCCAGTGGCAAGATGCTCCACAATTGGGGTGCCTTAGATTTTGTCTCTAAATATCTGTGCCTGGTAAATGAAATGAAGCTTGTATAAATTGTAACATTTAGATAAAGCCAGGCAAGAGGTTGGCACTTCGTCTGTCATGGGATACAGTCTGACAAAAGAGCCCTTACAACAGGTCCATTTTATGGCTGCAATAATGGAAAACTATAGGATGAAAAGAGAACCATAAGACAAAACTACAAGAGAAGGTATGAATAAAACTTCTTTGTAAAGGAAAAAGCTATATTTGGCAAACCTGTCATATGCACATCTTTCAGTTCTCTTTCACCAATTCTCTACCACATGATTCCTGAGGTAGGGATGCCAACTTTTTTTTTCTGGCAGTGCCCCCATGTCTGTATGACAACTAAGCAGAAATCCAACAGGTGAAGCTTTCTCCAGTCCTTCTTCACCTTGCAGAGGTGGAACTCTGTCTACAGAGCAGCTCAACAAGACACAAGAGCACTGCTAGAAAAGATGATGACAACCTCCCCAGAGGAGTGCAGAAACCCTTTTAAAAATAATTCTTCAAAATGCTGCCTGGTGATTTTTGGGCAATTAATTCAGCAACCAATTGCATTTACAGATTGAGAAGCTCAACTAAAATGTGAAACCTCGGAATAGATGGGGAAAACCGCTGCTGATGTTGTTTTGGGAGATTAATCAATTGTTAATTAAAAACTTTCTGACCTGCTTTCAGGGCATAACCTTCCCAGAGTGGATTACAATAGGATTAGAGTGTTATAAAACATTTTAAACCCCACCCCATCCATCTTTTAATATGTGGAATTAAAAGAGAAAGTTCCAAAAGTTTGGGATCACCACTAAAAAGTGTCCTTTCTCTGGTATTCGCCCATTTGATTGAGTTTGATGACTGGCCAGTCAGCAGGGCCTCCAAGACCAATCCTAGGGCCTTAGCAGGTTAAATGGGTCCAGGCCGTTTCCCAAACATTCTGCTCCCCCATTGCTCATGCCATTAAAGGTTATGGGCAATGTTTTAAACTACTGGAAAAAATCACTAATGGAACTTGCATGGTATTGATGAACACTCTGAAAATCTGACTCCCATAAGAGAGACTTTGAGCTACTGCATGGTACAAAAATGTAATAAATGCAATAAAATAAATAAGCAAGCTTCCAAGGAGCTGCATTCTGTACCACTTCAGGCTTATGAACCACCTCTAACGGCAGGCACACACGTTTGCAGAATCATAGAATAGTACAGATGGAAGGAGCTAGAGGGCCACTGGGTCCATCCCCCTGCCTAGTGCAGGACTCCTGGTTAAAGCATTCCTCTCAGTTGGCTGTCCAGTTGCATCTTGGATGCCTCCAGAATGGGAGAGCCCACCACCTCCTTTGGCAATTGGTTCCATTGCCATACTGCTCAGACTGCCAGGAAGTTCTTCCTGACATCCAGCCAGAATCTGGCTCCCTATAACTTGAGCCTGTTATTCGATATTCTGCACTCTGGGATGATCCAGAAGAGATCCTGGCCTTCCTCTGTGTGATGACCTTTCAAGTATGTGAAGAGTACTTCATATCCACCCTCAGTCTATTATGTTAGACTGATACATGTATACATGGAGTTACAGTTGACAAACCAGCTTCAACTGGTAAATGGTGCTTATAGCTTATGTGCTTCCATAGATAGCATGTGGAGAACCCCAAAACTGTCTATTTGGCAGTGTAGAAGGTGTGCAACTTTGTGCAAGACCTGCCACAAATCCATGTCAGCAGGGTTCACAACTGCGATCCAGATCAGCAGGCTTCCCAAACCATGGTACTTCTATCTTACCCAGATTAAGCTGTGCCGTGTTTGCCTTCCAGGTTAAGATTTCCATTGTTTCCCTGTGACTAGAAGATGGAAAAGAGAGGTAGAGCTGCATATCATCTGCATGCTTTGGATGACTTCTTCCAGTGGATATAGATGTCAACACTCAGAAGAGCTTTTAAAAATGGAATCTGGCATGACTAAAAAGCATACAGACATCTCCCATCACAGAGATGTTAAAAACATTGGGGAGCAGGAGGGGAACTTGAGGCAACCCAAAGGCCTTCAATACCACCATCTGGCCGCTTCTTTGCACAAAAGAGGAGAACCATCGTAACTCCATGCCTCCAAGTCTCCTCTTGGATAGTTACGTAGAGGGGAGGCTCAGCTCTTGCAGATTACAGTCTGCTTAGGTAGATTCACCTGATCCTAAGGAGGAGGAAGAGGAGGGCCAGGGGGTGCAGAGGGCTTGCAAGTCTCAAGGTTTCCTAGGAAAGATTCTCAGGCAGAGTGTGAGAACCAGCCCACCTTGGAAATGGAGGGAAACACTGCAGAGCCTGGAAGGTGGTGATGGAGGAGGAGTTCTTTGATGCAGTGGACATGACAGGCAAAGCGATTGGACCCACTGAGAAATGCTGACCCTTCCCACCTTCTATCTCTCAAGCAGCAGAAGCCACCCTGAGCACGGAGCCAGGATGCTTTCTGAAAGCGAGGGAAGGAGGGGATGTATCAGTTTGGATTCAGCTCTTCATTGAATCTGCACGCTTCTCAAAGCAAACTTTACATCAGTTTGTGCTATTTTGTGATGTGTAAAGCTCTAGTAAAGGACTGTGCTTCAAAGTTTTCCTCTGAGTCTGCTGGAAAGGAGAGGGAGGAAAAGCCTGCTCGTGTCAAGATGGTCCATACAAAGACCGTACTTGATAGTTTCAAAAGCTGTGCACTTGCCCTTCCATTCCATAACACAAGTTAACCCCCCAGAGTGGCCAAGGCAGTTTATGCCCCCAAACCAGTCCAAAACCCAGAACAGCAATAAATAGCCAATGTCATGTACAACCACCTGGAGTTCAGAAGATGCCACCTGCTCCAAAGGCTTGTTCAAAACGTGTACATTGGA